GTCCAAGAATTCGTTAACCGTGTTCGGGGCCGTTTTAAACACTTCCTATGCTTCCAGACCGATTTATTTACCTATATATAAAAAGGTCTTAGAAAACTGCATATAATCTTTGCATATTTAGGCCCTATCACAGGGAGGAGGGATATTGAAAAATTTTAATATTGTATAATATGGTTTTTTGTGTCTGTGTTTTTCTGTAATATATTGTAAAAAGTAGCCTAAAAGGCACGTATCTCTATTGACTTTTAAGAGGCCTATGTATTATGCATACTTTTAATAAATTTAAATTAAAATGTATACAAGGACTACATATACTGTATATTTGGAAATTAAAGTTTAAGTTTATGCATGAAGTAACCATTTTATTCACACATACAACTTTAGAGGGTCAGAAGGGCCATTTGGTAGGGCCCAGCACAAAAAAAGCCCCAAATTTAATTGTTTAATGTAAAATACATACGAAAGTGTTGTAAATTACGATTTCTTTCCATAAAAAGTGTATTTTACTCATATATTTTTATGGCCTTTGTAGAGGGTTGGTGTTCCACTTTGTGACTAGACCGGATCCTATCTTACTCCTCGACGTTTCTGCAATTCTGATAATTAAATGATAAGAAATTCCATTTTCTCGTAAGTAAATATATAAGCCACTTTCTTCAATATTATTTTATTTATTTTAAATTATAATTAAATATCTTCTAATTCAATAATTAACTCCTTCGATCCCGAGAGCACTGAAAAGGTCTTTTCCATGCTATCATGTTTTCGATAAGGCCCATAATGGGACGATAGGATGTGAAGGATGGGCTCCAACATATCAGGGTTAAACATTCATGAAAATTTTTGATTCGACCCGAATTCGAACCCGGATCCACAGAGCGGAAGGAGACTGATACCTTTATTCCCTCCGCCGCCAGGTTGTGATAGATTTTTGCTACTCAGAGACGGATAATCGAGTGAAAAATCTGAAATTGCATTTTATGTTATCCTTATTATCCCTATTATTGTATTATATATTATAAATTATGTTGTCCTGAACTCGAATCTGGAGCAAGGGAGACTGATACCTTTACTCTCTCGGTTATCTGAGTGTGATCGATTTTTTCTAGTCAGAGTCGGATAATCGGAAGAAAAATCGAAATTATATTCAAAAATTATGGAAAAACACTTTGGAAAAGCACGAAATTTTTAAATTTTTCACTTACAAATCGTTGTGTCAAACATCTGCTACCCGCTCTCGATGCATTTTACATAAAATTTGCCTCTTAAAATCACGTAATAATCAATTTTTTCACCTAAATCTTCGAAGACTATCACACGATTACTCCAACAAGTTTATATTTCGCTTTTATTATATTTTATGAGATATTCATGCAGATATTAACTTATCTATCAACCATCGTGAATATCGCACGTATTATCTAAACTACTGACTAATCAGTAAAATACTTCAGTATTATTTGAAAAATTCAAGTAAAAATTACGCTATTTTTTCAGTTATTCCCTAAGATATGCATCTTACTTAACTAGTCACGAAAACGATTCCATAGATGCAGATACATTACGATATTCATGCGTGAAACGTATGGCAAATCTACTCAAATTTTAAGTTTAAAAGCATTTATTTAAAGATTATACAATTAAAAATTTGAAATTAATAACATAATTACCTTATAAATATATTTTAAAGTTAATTTTAAAGTATTTATAAATAGATAATTAAGCGAAAACGAGTGAAGTATCCAGCACGAACCTCTCCGAACAAAGCCCAACTTCATTCAAGTTTTTAAAATACTTTTTATAATAAAAAACATTAAACTTTTATATAAATACAATTTATATCTTTAAATCTTCTCCTCGAAGTAATTTAATTTAAAATAATTTTATTATAATATTTAAAAAATCAAGGAAAAAACTCGTATAGTCTATCAATAGACTGTTAATAAATTAAATCAAGAATAAAGAACCAATCATTCAATTTTTATAATGTTTATGAAAGAAGCAGTTTATAGAATTGTCTATATATATATAAAAGAACTAGTAAAATTATTGGATGTCATGTCTGTCTGTGCTATAAAACCTCTTGAAACGTCGTCATGTAATGGCCAATAATGATATGTTATCATGTAATTGTGTTATTGTCGTTAAGATAAATTGTCAATTTTCGAGATGTAATTTTGTAATTATAATCTGGAAAAATCTATAAATCTTTTCACAAATTACGTTAAAAATATCAAGTAATAATATATAAATCCAATTAAAATTTTTTAAAGTTATTTTTACACTATTTTATCGTTGAAGTAGACAGGGGGTGAGAGAAACTCGTATCTAGGATACGTGGAGGCCTCCCTAGAATTTAATACTTTATATATAGGCCTATATAGGAAAAAAGCATAAAAATTTCTTTTAATTTTATTGATTTTAATCCTATATTCTTCTGTCTTTCGGAAAGGAAGAGGACCTTTTAATTGATTCAGATCTCGTCTAACTTCACTCGACTCTTCCTAAACGTTATTGGGAATATCAGAATATCAAATCTGATCAAAACTACAGTTAAACCTCGATATAACGTTCTTTTTAATAGAGCCATTCTCGTAGTGTCGACGAATAGTGGAGCAGTTGTTAAATATAGATAAGCCCTGTGTCTGTGGACGATTTTGAACTGTAAATGACATTATCTCACTCCTATATAATTCGTATTCTTCGATTTAACGCCACTCTCTGTTTAGNAAAAATTACTAGTAAAGACAGTGGAGATAAGCGCAACAATGTACAAATAAATAAATGGAAGGCAAATTATACGTGGCCGAAATAGCTCAGTTGGGAGAGCGTTAGACTGAAGATCTAAAGGTCCCTGGTTCAATCCCGGGTTTCGGCAGACGTGTATATTTTTTTATTTTTATTTCTCTTTTAAAAGTGGTTTTCATATCAAATCAAATGCTTATACACTTTACAAATCATTGCCAAAGTTAATACGCTTTATTTTTGGTTTGCGTGTAATTCTAGTGCCGGTAGAAGAAACGAAAACAGGACCCTCCACAAGTAGTGCAAGTCGATAGAGCCTGACTGATACGTTACCTATTTTAAAACGTAGCGCTAGCTCGAAACTGTTGTCTAAATCAATGGTGTGATAACTGGAGCTTTGGTAGTGTGATAACTCACGATACCCAAGCATGGAATTTTTATAGCGAAAGTTATACAAAGAGGAGTTATCAAAAATTAGGAAGATTGCTTATGTGAGATTATTGAAATCCTGCGTTTAAAAAGGTTTATGTTAGAAAGTTTCTACTGTAACATGTGGTGGTTCGTGGAGTGAGTATGAAGGTGTGTTATTGTTTACCACAACAAAATTTATCTGAGAAAAGACGTATTGAGTCTCAATTACAAGAGAGTAACACAAAATTCTTTAGGGCCAGTGCACGAGTTTTAGTCTCAAAATTTAATGTATAGAATTCAGGGATGTGGAGTCGGAGTCGCTAAAAAATTCGCCGACTCCGACTCCTTTTTACATCCCACCTTGTTATGTACGAGTATATAAAACGGAAAAGAAATCGTGTCAAACTTGACCCTCCAAGTTTTTTGTAAATCTACGCGTTTGGAGACCTCCTGAATAAAAAAATGTCAATTAAAGGGAAAAAATTCCCGCGTGCGTGTGCGTGTTGGCGTCTAATTTGTTTAATTTCTTTATTCTCTGTTCTCAGAATGAGTAAAGTTTAAGAAACGAAATTTGGTACTGAAGCTTGTTTACAAAGGGGTATTAATGCTATTAAATTTTGGTTCTTAATTAAAGGTCGACAGGATGGAAGACAGAAGTCATGTGTCATATCTCCAGTGCGGTTGAACTTAATGAATATTTTGCTCGTTATTAGCGTTCACAAATTAAAAAAAAAATAAAACTCGTCTCTACTCTCAAAATTAAGCCTTTTGCATTTTATAATAGTACAGTAAACCCGTTAAGATGTTTTCGCCTAAGATATTAGAATGTGTATGGGAGCACGATTTAGTTCAACCACTTTGAAGTTTAATAACTCCTGTGTTAAACCATCCGACTCCGAATTAAAAACCTCAGAAGTTATTAGGCTTCAAACAGGGTGAACAAAATCGTCCCCTCCCCCACAGTCTAACATCCATACATACAGAAAAAACCGACTCTTTTACATATCTCGACATTTTAAGGTCGAGATATCGTAAATGAGAAGCGATCGGGGGTCACACTGCGGCTGTTTAACAAACAGCCCAGCACGGTGGTCAGACATTTTAACGATATTTATCGTTAAAGAATAAAAAGTCCATTATGCTCGCTATCGCTTGCACCTCAGCACACGATTATCTTAGCGAAGTACGCAATATCATTCCCGATCGTTCCTGAAAGTAGTCTGATTTCGTGGTGTAGGCTACATCTCGGGAATGATCACATGTAGAAGTATAGTTCCTTTAGCTGTTTTGCTCCTATGGACATGCTCTGCAGCTCTGTTAAGGTACCAACAGTGTCATCTGCAATTGTGTCGTATCTAGTGCAATTGATTTAAAAGGTATTTATCTCAAGAAAGTGGATAATCTTACGATTCTCTTTATACTGCTAAACAGAGAATCACACTTCAGCCCTACGACAACGAGTATTTTATTTATTTATCAAGAATTTGAAATGTTATCCTTAGTAAATAAATGCTCAAGATGTAAATGATTCTGTGTGGTATGACTGATGTGTGGTATGACTGATGTGGTATGACTGTATACTCAGTGTCTTTAACAATCAATAATAACTTTACTTTTATTAAAATGGGAGGGTGTAAAGTAAAGTCTACTGTAGCCTACACGTTTCTTGAAATATTTCAGTTTTCTATTATTATTATTATTCTTTAATGAATTTCATATTGTACAGAAATATCAATTCATCAATTTAATTATATTTATAAATCTAATTACACTAAAACTGCCATATATTTTATTTCAATTTTCCCTGTTAAAAATTCGTATACGAATGTAACGAGACACTTAGAAATATTTTAAAAATGAACCGTTTCATTTATTTACTGATGAAAGAATACAGAAAATATAATATTTATTGCCTGACGATTTCCTTCACCTTTTCTTCCACTTCTTCGTACAGTTTGCCTAAATCTTCTTTGTACGGACGGAAGAATTTAAGGGCCTCTTCGGCTACATCTTTGCCGGAATGTTCGGCACGTTCCAAGAACTGTAAAAAATCATTTGTTATAAGATACGTTAGTGAAAAATTCCCGAGGACCAGGCAAATGAACGTACGTGACGAGCGAGATCTCTGATGAAAGTGGCTTTGTCTTTCAAAACTTCTTTGCCGCCATCGTAAGTCTCCTTTAGAAATTCAACGAACGAATCGATTTTTTCTCCGGGGGTGAGACGAACTTTATTCAAAACGTCGATAAGACTGTCCAGAAAGCTCTCGGCGGATCTCTTTTCGCTGTGTACATTACTTCCGTGAAGACCTATTAATCTTCTGAAGAACTCTTTAAGTATTTTTCTATACTTTTCTATAATCTGTTTGGATTTATCCGTCATCTCAACATGATCATCTTTCACTTTTTGTAGGAGGTGTAGCAACTAAATAATCAAAATTTTGCTTAGAATTTTAAGCACGTATCTTAAAATAATAATAAGAAAAAGTTTGAAGCAGAAAGTATATCAACTTATTTCATAATGATTATTTTTATGTATCTAACTTGTAAGTTATTACGTAATCTATATAATTCTTATAACTGATTTTTTATTGTCTTATTAAAAATTCAATAATCATCAGTCAGAAATTTTTTGGTGCTTATTCTTACTTTATCCAGTTCATCTGGTTCAATTGTTTTTCCGTGTTCAAGGGCATCGTCGATCCTTTTCAAAAGATGTTCAAGTTCGGATCTAACATCGTTACTAAAATATCAAACTTAAGATGAAAATAATAGATTTAAATTATAATTATCACATAAAGTCCACTTACTCGACGCCTCTTTTATCGTTGCAGAAACCTAAATTAAAATTTGCCCAAACGTTTTTATAACTACAAAAATATTTTTAATGTAAGAGTCTAGAACATACCGTTGTATGGAAATGCAACAGCCAAGCCAACAAGCAGAGAAAAAACGAAAAGCTTCATATTCTGTTTGAACATATTGTATAAGTTCTCGTAGAAATAAATTACATCAACGATACCTATGTAAAAAATTATTTGCTTACCTGGCCTGTTTAGAAACTTCGTAGGCCCTAAGTGTGAAAATAGCTAGGTAATTTGTACCTTTATATAAATTTTTCTGTGGATAAATCGTAGATAAGTTAATCTTATAAGACGTGGGAACGTATCAAATGTCGATACGTTAACGGATACTTTGTCTTATTCATGCTCCATTGGTCTATTTTTGTGATGATAAAACCGGTATATTAATATTTTTAAAATAATTTTTAGTATTATATAACTTTGTCCTGGGGTATCACCTGGATAATCGATATATTAATGACATTAGTCTGCGGCACGAGAATCGACTAAGAAATTTTCACGGATATGTTGTATACCGGGCTCAATCGTTTACTATCTGGAAATAATGCGGATTGCTAAAGCAGGCTAAAGATTGGCCTGACTTGATGGAATAAAGTAACACACAATGGTGCATCCCGAAAGGACTTTGTGAAAAACTCGGCTCTATTTAGAAATTATGAGTAATCTATGAAAGAAATTCGAAAAATCTACGTAGTAAGCCTTGGTTTAAAAACTGGCTGGATGGCCAATGTAGTTAAGGTTGATATACATGGCAGTTTTTTTAACTCTTTTCGCTCTGTGGGCACTAAGAGGGCCTCTTATAGCAAGCCTATTGTGGGTTCGGCCAGGCCTACAATGGGGCTGCCGGGTGGTGAGGGACGGGTCCCGACATATCCGACTGACCATCCCCCGAAAAATTCCTGGGGATTTGTCGACCCGTCCGGATTCGAATTCGGGTTCTCAAAACGGTATGCTGTCACCTTGACCGCTTGGCCATCCGGCCAGCTATACATGGCGGATGAAAAGTAACTAAGCATTGAGAAATCACTTAATTTCTACACTTCTAATACAAAGACAATAAAAATTATTATATATATACTTTATTACTTGGAACTTAATATAATAAAGATGTGATTTATTAGTTAAATTTATCATGAAATGAAAATTGCGAAATGTTCAATAATTTAAAAAGAAAGCCACTCTAGCCGTCCTTTCCTTACTATGTGATTTATTACATAATTAAGAAATCGAAAACCTAAAAATTGCTCATTTCCGAGTAAACAATGAAATAAACTCTTACATAAATATAAAGCGCTCCTTACATCACATCCCTTCACAGGTATTTGTCCTCTTCCTTTACTTAATAATTTACATTTCCTTACATTTATGCATTTAAAGGATTCCTTAGATTTGATTTAATATAAATATTAAAATCTACTCATATACAGTACTTCCTTAATTAAATTCAACACAAAAGGTAGCAATTGAAGGATCCTGCAATCAGGATGCAATCAAGTGAAATTTCAAATTTCCTGGTTATTTAACTTTTTTTCCAACAGCTTTTAAATGAATAAAACACTCACGGTATTATATGTTAATTATTAAATCAGTGTTTTTACAATTAGCCTACATTAAGAATGCTTCTTTACTGTAACAATTCCTTCTTTTATTGGGCTGCAGTTTTCAAATCGCAGATCTCTAGATTCCCACTGTCGTCTCGAGAACAGGGTTAGATAAATTAAAATCTAGATACATAAAGCTCCGATTAACTACATACGAATTTCCGGTCTGGACCGGAAGTCACGAGAATTTTTAAATTAAAATATGATTAAAAATTGCATCCCTGCATTGTGACAATGTTACAATAATATACAATTAGTTCAGTAATTTACAAATATCCGTGATGGGATGTGATGTAAGAGTGATTTACAGTTGTGTTATAGTTTATTTCATTGTTCATTTGAGAAAAAGAGATTTTCATTTCTTAATTATACAATTGTATAGAAATGTGTATAGTTTTCGATTATAGACATAAATTTATTATATACTTTTAAAGATTGTTTAACCCGTGCCGTTTTCACACCGTCATTACATCATCACAAACTTCTCCCACACTGTGAGTTACAATGCGAAAAAAGAGGAAAATAGTAAAGTTCAAACTTTACTATTTTCCTCTTTTTTCGCATTCTATGAATGATAAAATTAAATCGCCAGGTCTGGTAAAATTTCACAAGACTTGGCAACACTACATGTTCATCACCATCATTGTGGACATGGCCGAATCCCCCTACGGATGTGCAAAAATTCCCCGTAATGCCCACAGAGCGAAAAGAGCCGAGAGAGTGGCCACTGAACACCGGTAGTTTGTCGAGAGTTCGCAAATGCAATTAATGAAAAACAATTCCAATTTCTTGTATTAGAAATTAGAGTATGGAAGTAGACAGAAGCGTAAAAGTTATTTTAAAATTAAATGTTTCATTTATTTACTGATGAAAGAATACAGAGAATGCAATATTTATTGCCTGACTATTTCCTTCACTTTTTCTTCCACATCTTCGTACAGTTTGCCTAAATCTTCTTTGTACATACGGAAGAATTTAAGAGCCTGTTGAGCTACTTCTTTGCCGGAATGTTCGGCACGTTCCAAGAACTGTAAAGAATCATTTGCTGTAAGATACGTTAAATTAATGGAAAATGCCCGAGCACCAAGCAAATTAACATACGTGACGAGCGAGATCTTTGACGAAAGTGGCTTTGTCTTTCAAGACTTCTTTGCCGCCATCGTAAGTCTCCTTTAGAAATTCAACGAACGAATCGATTTTTTCGCCGGTGGTAAGACGAACTTTACTCAAAACATCGATAAGATGGTCCAAAAGGCTCTCGGCGGATCTCTTTTCGCTGCGATCCATCTTATCAAGAAATTCTCTGAATTTTTCAATTCCTTTGTCTAACCATTCAAGAAGCTTTTCGCGGATCTATAAAATTAAATTTGATAAGTAAGCAGTCATATCCATGATGATAACCGTAGACGTAATAAGGCATTATTTTACCATGCTGCTTTTTACGTTGTTTTCGATAAATTCGCGAATCTTTCCTTTATCCTCAAGTTCGTCGAGCTTAACAGAATAAAAGTAAAAAAACATATCTATATTATTGTATTTTTGTCTTAATTTTTCTTACGAATTTAAGCGTAACTCACTTTAGCTTTCAATCTCCTGATAAACTGTATCAGTTTGTTTCTTATATCAAGGTCTCTTCGTTCGATATTATCATCCTCATCTTTATCCAACAGTTTTCTAAACCAATCTGCAACTTTGTCTTTCAATTTTTCTATCAGCTCTTTGGCTTTATCTGAAACTTTAATGCGAAGTTCTTTCAGCTTCTCACGGAGCTCTTTGGCCTAAAATAATAAAACTTTTATTTTAAATTTATTAAACATTTTTTGAATAATTAACGATAAAAAATGTAAAGTAATTATTAAATTATTCTATGACCACTACTTTTTATATATCATCCGATATAATAAAAGTAATCATTCGAAAGTAGTCATCCGATTTATTTTAATTGCTATTTCCGTAAATTTTTATTTCAGTGAAATAATAGTTTATCGAATATTAAAAAGAACTTAAAGAAAATTTATTTATGATGGCTACATATAAGAGCTAATACCTTTTCAACAAGATCTTGTTTAACTTCCTTTCCGTGGTCCATAGCATCTTTCATTTTATTCAAGACTTTTTCAAGAGCATCTTTCAGTTTTTGACCAAGTTCGGTCCTAATATCTTCTCTGAAATAGTATAATTTTTATTAAAATAATCTAAATAATTACACATCATCATCATCATCACACAAAGTTTACTTACCCGTCGTCGTCTCCTTCATCTCGGTAATAACCTATACAATAAAATTATTATATTAGTTGAAGTTACAGTCCTAATTCGTGTTGACTTATAAAACAACATACCGCCGTAGGGAAGAGCAACGGCTAAGCCGAAAAGCAGGCAAAATACGAAAAGCTTCATGATCTATTTGAAGAATATAATCTATAAAGTCGTGAAATATAAAAATCTATGTAAAAGACAATTGTTCACTTACCTCACTCGTTTAGGAACTCGAAGACCCTGAGTGACGAACGTGGCAACTTGTACTTTATATACGTTTCTTCCGTTGAGAAATCGTAGATAATGTAACAATAATCTTCGAAGGTCGTGAGAAAACAGCAAATGCCGAATCTATAAACGGATACGATGTCTTTTTTCGTGACATATTAACTGATTCCCATGTTGATAAATGGGTGCCAGCTCTTCAGTGAAGTGTAGGTGCTGTAAAACTGTACCGAAGGATCACCAGAGTGTATATAATGTAAACTGGGTGCATCATAATACTTGGAATAGAAAATTGAAAGAAATCAAATGTGAATTTATACTACCGAACAAAACATTAAAAAATTCATTGTTAAACATAAAATATATTTTAAAATCGTTTAATGTGTATCCAGAAAAACCCAAAAGTCAGTTAACTGAGATACATTTCAAAACATGCAGCTGTTCTATACCAATTTAAACTGTTATTAACTCATTGAGGTAAGACGAAAAAGTTTTATTATTCTAAATAATATGTTGTCAGATTCTTTCAAATGGCGCCGCACCGCGTGAAAGAGAAGTGATTGACAACACTTTCACAACACAAAACTTTTGAACGAAATAATTAAGATGCAAGTTTTATGGATATTGAATGATTATGTAATGGAAGATGGAGTAAGATGGTGATTTAACATCACCAGCTTAACCCATCTTCCCCACATATTAATTAATAAGATCACGACATCACTGTGCTTAAAGTCGGTGATAGTTTTAAGAACTAATAATTCTACAGTGAACAGTAATTTCTTCAACAGCTAATGCCAAAACTCTACAAAATTGTGAGAAAATATTGTGTGGATATGGAGGGGTTAATTTCAGATTGACATGAATTCGAAATAAATCCTGAATTGTTATCTTTACAAACAAATATAGAAAGAAGATAATTTATGATAATAATTATTATTATGGTTTAAATCGCCTGAAATTTAACGAACACTTTTATTTTGTGGGCAACTACTCTACGAACCATCTTTAATTCTTTTCATATTAATCCATCTATTTTGGTTTTCTTCATTACTAAAAGAAATATGAAAACTATTTTTCGTCATATTATACGACAACTTTTCGGTATTTTTTCAAGAAACTGCTCACCGCTAGTATACGAGTTTACGAGTTTGGCTTTGATAACATATATGATTACAGTGGTAGCCCGATTGCGCATCAGGTAATGTCACCAGAATGCCTTAAAATTTCGGGCGGATGGCCGAGCGGTCAAGGTGGCAGCCTACCGCTCTGGGGGACCCGGGTTCTAATCCGAACGGGTCGAAAAATTCCCAGGAATTTTCGGGGGTGGTCCGTTTGGATATGTCGGGCCCCGTCTCTCATCACCCGACAGCCCCATTGTGGGCCTGGCCGAACCTATAATGGGCTTGCAAAAAAAGGCTCTCTTAGTGCCCATAGGACGGAAAGGGTTTTAAAAAAAAGTCTTAAAATCACTACTTCAGTATATTGTGAAAAGGCTTACACATACTCATTGTATTCAGAATTTTCAATGTAAATATGGTATTACCCGAATAGCGGCGTTACACAAGTGCTTATTATTGTTGCATTAATATCCTCCGTGTCACGATAACGGTAGCACATCTGTCTGCCACTGTAGTCGAAATGATCTCATCTTCACTCATGACTCGACATATTCAGAATTTTTATCGATATCCACGAATTTATCGGAAGTATAGTCAAGTTCACAATTATTAAAACAATTCCATATCGCTTTTATCATCGATCTATTCAACCATTGTTGGCCACAAAACGCTAATTTGCATGGTGCCGAGCGAACATTTTTAGCTTTGGCACTTTTAGCACGTAAAATTTCTACTTTACATGGCCATACATCTGCCTTATTATGACGTTTGCTTAAAACGGTAATTTCTCTTAGTCATTCTTTAGATTTGTAAATTTTGCATACAACTGATGGATCAGAAGAAAATGTTAGGTCTATCACAAGTGGCAATGATTTCCATATTCTTTAAACTTAGTTTGGTACGTTTTAATTTAAAATTTCCACGTTAGTAACACCTAAATGGGGGCCGGTTTCTTATAAAATACTTCTTGTGAGGCAGATTGCCCATATGTCGCGTTGCCGTAAACGAATAAAACCATTATCGGCCTGACCGAACTCTTTATGAGTATGGCAAAAAAATTATTGTAATACCCACAGGAAGTTGATCCTCAGTGGGGTCAACAGAGGCGAAACTGGAGTTGACGGCTCCTAGACTAAATTTTAAAAATGGTGCTCCTTGAAACCAATTGTATTTGAAACTACAGCTGAATTCCGGTACATTATCAAAAGAGCATGTGCTTACTCCATAGAAAGGGACTCGTGATGCTGGAAAATATAGCTGGATGGCTGAGCTGTTAAGATGCAACCTATCATTTTCGGGGATCTTGGATCGAAAATGATAGGATCCGGAAATTCTGGAAAAATCCAGGAATTTTTCGCTCGGTTATGTCGGAACCTCTTCCTCATCCATTATTAAATTCGAATTATTAGTAATTTTGTTTTTAATTATTTGAATTTTTATTGCTCTGTGATGGACTAAAGACGTGGCCATTAATATATGAACTTAAAGTCAAGATTTAATCGTATTTAAAGTAGGAGCTTCGGACGACATTTATGACATCATATATCGAATGTCTGGTCTTGAGATAACGATTGGCCATGCTGTAGGTCTCATCAAGGCTAGTTCTAGATATAATCGAGCAGTACAGCTATTCAGGACACTAAAAATAAAAAGTAAGCGAAATGTTCTGCAAGTTAATAATATATTTAAATTATAACATTTATATTTTATGCAATAATTTTTAATAGAAAATAAGCAAGAATACATATAATTTTGGATTGCATTGCCTACTCTAAACAAACTCTATGGAAAAACTGGCCCTTATTTAAGTGCTAGACATGTGAAAAACGTGGCCAGGAACGAATCCACGATCAATACAAACCACCGAATAATCAATTTATATTATTTTTTTAAACAGTTTTTGTTTCACCAAGAATGACAAAAATCTAAATTTGATGAATAAAAAGATTAAATTCGTATCACAATTTAATTTTAGTATTATTTAAACTTATTATCTTATCATTTTATTTTTATGTTATACATTCATCACGCTTATCCATAATTTTATAATTACAACTATGATAATATATTGATTTTTGCATTTTAATCTCATTTAGTATGGTAACTTACAACTGTTAATTATTTCTTATATTTCCATTGTATTAGAAACATAAATATAAGCAAGGAACAAATCATAAACACGATAAAATAAATCATAAAATATAAAGATTATGAGTGAGCAAGCACATAGAGAAAAAAAACATTGCCACTTGCCCACAACAGTGTGGTGAAGTTCAAACTTTTAGGCATGATGTACTCTTACACCAAACTTTTGGGTAGATGATAAACAAAGTATAGATTTTATTAACCCAATATATCGCCAAATATCAGTTCGTATAGCCTAAAACATAGCATCTAGCTAAATCACAAAAGATACAGCATTTTTAATTTTTCAACAGCCCATTGTCTTTCATTAGGAAGATGGTAAACAGTTAAGTTAGCAAACCATGTCATCTCCATTACATATGAAACGGATTATTCCATTGGTCTGCTTAACTAGAAGTTTGTCACAGTTTTTTCAAGAAACATCCTATGAAGTTTAAGGATGCTGCTTACTAATATTGCCTGGGTGTGGAAAATTAGCCGTATCACACGAGGCCCTTCCTTCACACGAATGATTTTTATATTAATTAATCAACCAAACAGGTTAAGACACTTGTGGACAATTATTTTTTTGTTTATAAAATAAATACTTAGAAGTTCATTTTTATATCATTTTCGGCTGATTTTACGTGGCGCTAATGAAATATACTCACTAAAAGAAAGCGGTAGTCCGAAAAAATTTGGAAAATACTGCTTTATATACCTAAATTTTTCAAAACATAGTTTATTAACTTTTACAATAATGTTTATTCCTTAAATCCTAACCTTTTAAAAACCTGCGTGCACGGGTATGAGTTTAATAAATAGGAGCATCACGCTGAAATTACATCAGAAATACGCGAGTATTATATATAAATTGTATAGTGACGAATATGCAAAAAAAATTCAATTTTTATTTAGGAAAATCTAAAATATTCACATAAATTCGAAACTCGTACTTCGAATTCTGTCGTAAATTCTTTAATTGCATTACGAATATAAAAACTGATACTATTCATGAAGTATTCAAATAAATGCTTAAATAATCGAAACGAAACTTTTATATATTGGTCAGTAATTTATTGAAATACAGTTCTTTCGTTAAATTACATTCGAAATTTTTTTCTAACGTCTTGTAATTCAGCGAAAGGATTAGAAACTGTTCCTTCTATCCATAAAGTCAAGAAATTTTTCTAAACCAGAGCGCCCTTTTTGCAACGCCTTCAGGGCCATTTCACGAAACTGGAAAAAAATAAATAAAATTAAAAAGTCCGTTAAATATTCAAATATATAAATTCGTTAACCTATTTCGGTTATTAAAAATTTCGTACCATGTTATCTGGGAAGGTTTGTCTGATCCATTCACTGAGTTTAGCATCGTCTGTGATTTCTCTTAACTGTAATAAACATTTACTTTTAACTAAAAGATTTCTTCGATTACTAATAAGTTAATTGTGTAGACTTACTTTTTCTTTCATTTTCGTAATCATATCTTGTATTTTATCTTTGATCCCTGAAAAATCTCTTTTCTCATCGTCTCCTCCGATCATCTTTCTAAGCCAATCCCTTACTCTTTCTTTTGTTTTTTCTATTAATTCTTTGAGTTTATCTCCGACCTTAACGTGGAGTTCTTTCAACTTTTCTTTCAGTTCTTTGGCCTAAGTAGCACAAAGAGAAGCTTCAAATTTTTATATTGTCGAATGATGGGTATACTAAAAATATTACTATAATTAATTTTACCTTTATTATAAGATCTTCTTTAACTGTCTTTCCATGCTCTATAGCATCTTTGATCTTTTGTAATACGTCTTGTAACGTATCTTTCAAATGCTTTCCAATTTCAGTCTTGGTATCACTAAATGAAAAAATCCCTAAAAGGTCAGCCTTTATATCCCATTGTATTATTATTATTATTTTTATTTTAAAGAAGCGTTATAAAGTGAATTTTTTAATTTACACAAACACAAATACTTACTCCTCATCATCTTCGTCCATGTACTCTTCTACTACAAAAATATTATGAATTTTTAACAATTTGCCATATAAATAACAATATGTTATATAAATAAACAATTACCATTGTAGGGAAATGCGGCGGCTAAGCCGAAAAACAGAATCAAAACGAGGAATTTCATGGCCGGTCTGAAAATTATTTTATAAATTTTAGAATTAAATACGAGATTTTAATTAAAAAATACATTACTTTACCTTAATCGCAACAATTCAGACACGAATGACGAAAGGAATTCATTCGCTTTTTATACTTTTCCGCAGTGAAAACATCAAAGATAAAAAAGATAAGAGAGAGTAATCTATGAAGGATACGAGAAAAGAGCATCTGCTGCTAAAATAAAAGCAACTGTATATAATTTTGTTTGTTTTAAATGTAAAATAATATCTAAAAAACACTTGTTAGTTCTATATAGTTTAAAAACTTTAAATTAAAATACAAAGAATGATTTTTTTAAAATATACTTTGAGGTCATTTCTTCCAACTCTTCGTTCTGAGGATAACGTACCACCGTAGTCGAGTGAATAAAACTAGTGTTTCTAGTAGGCGTACGAAGGCTTTTTTCAGGCTCATTGTGATTCGGCCAAGCCTATCAGTATAGGTTAAATCTCTCTGACTGCATTTTTAATAATGGTATTTTGGATATATTATATATAAGGTATCACAGTAATGTTAATTGTATGGTAAATAGTAAACGATCTGGTTACTTTAGGCATGACCTATTGCCATTGTCATCTGTACTGCAAATGATTATACGATATATGCAAATGATTTATAGGCTATATGTACTGTACATCTCTGTGTAGTGTATTTCAAATATTGTCTAATGTATGCCGCAATATATTGTCTAATATCATTGTTGATTGCATTCTTCTTATGCAAACATTTACATAGTGAACACATTTTTGATTTTCTCAGCTTTGAAACTATGTAACTTACTGTACATAGTTTCGTAGCTTTACGGTATGTTTTCTGTATTTTTCATATAACTATAAATATATTATATTACTGGGATCACCCGATTATACTATCCCGTACCGATGTGCTTTGTACTTTAAAGCTGAATTGAAAATTGGAAGTGAATTGGTTCGGTCAAGTCCATAGAGAAGTGACCAGGCGACGGTGTCTGAATTACGGGATGGACGGGAATTTTCTCTGTTTTGGCAGGTTTCCGTTTAACAAAGAATTTTATTTTATTAACTAACTCGTCTGGAGACTTGGAGAGAAATGGCAATTGTGTATTGTCTTTATAGACAATGAAAGTACCAAGATAATACACAATTCTTAACAAAGAATGAATGCGTTAAGCTGTATCACATGAATCGAATTCGCATGTTACGACACTAATTAAGACTTAAAATTTAGCTGACGTCACACCGAAAAATTTCGTATGTCGGTTTGGGTTATGTCATGAAGTCGGTTTCCAATCTTCAGTTTAAGGCTAGACAGGTTTCCGGCTTATAATTGTAATTTACGTAGCAAATCCGTTTCGAGATTTTTTTCCTCTTAAGCAAGTTGCTGTATTTAGAAGCTGACCAGTGACTGAGTGGAAAACACCACTGAACACCGTAATTGGTTGCGGGTTCGCGCCTCACCAACGGGCTGGCCGCGTGCAGCTTTTCGGATTTTCTTCACATGTCTAACACCTGAGGGGTTAGTTTCCTATAGAAAAATTCTCCCGAGAGGTACTCCCCCCTTGGCAAATCTGCCACGTGTTCAGTGGCGTACCGTAGTGGGGGCGGCAGGGGCGGCCCGCCCCGGGCGGCACTTTTTAGGGAGCGGCAAAATTTCACAATAAATAATAATAAAATCTTGAAAAAATTTGAAACAGCCTAATCTATACTTTCATCGCGCCTACGATAGTGCTATCGTCCGGCGAAGTATCGATAGTATCGTCTAGTGAATCGGCTCGCCGGGTGAACTAATAACTTTTTCATCCGAGGAATTCCTGCGAAACCTGTTGACCTTTTTTTTCTTTCTTTCTTACTTGTACGATTCATTCGCGTTCATATACACCATTAATAGCCAATACAACTATTTTAAATTAACAGGTCGCTACACTACCACCGAATTTTTCATTGCTTGTTCTGTGACAAAACTGAATTTTGGTCTTTTAAATTGAAATACCTAAATAAGGGGGGCGAAATTTCCCTCCGCCCCGGGCGGCTGACACCCACGGTACGCCACTGCACGTGTTGTTTTGCTTTCTTTCATCAATCCGAAAATCCTATCCTGTTTGAAGACTGTAAGAAGACGAAGGCAGTTAAGGAGTAAGCCTACCTCTCTGGAGGATCCAGAATCAAATCCGAGATAACAGTCTCTAGGATTCAGCCTCTAGAAATCAGCCTCGTCCCTCGCAACCTCCATTCTGGGCCTGACCGAACTCACGATGGGTATGGAGAAGAGGTCTTTTTAGTGCCCACAGAGTAAAAAGAGTAAAAAAAATTAGCAAAAATGCTAACCTATACACAAAAAATAACTTTTGCAGTTCTAACAAGGCCAGAGAAATAATAAAACATTCTATTTTTAAAAAATTGTATAAATACGAAAAGACATTCACAAAGGTAAAAACCTTGCTTCTATCTTTCCGCCGTTTCTACGACCTTCCTTTTCCTCGGAAGGTCGTCTCGGAAACTTGTGAATTGTTTTTAAGGATTGCTAATGGTGTAGAAACGGCGGAAAGATAGACAGAAGCAAGGTTTTTACCTTTGTGAATGTCTTTTTGTATTTATACAATTTTTTAAAAATGTAATTAACGCCGGCCATAGTTTATTTTACTATTTTTACTTAAAACATTCTATGTTTATTCTTAAAATGAATTTTAGTTACTGGGTCCAATAAATCAGGTTAACCCCACGAAAATTTGAATCAATCGGGCCTAATTCGGACCACAAGAAGAATACGGTATTACTTTAATCGTCGTACAATCTTAAGTTGATATTCTTTCTTTCCTGTCTTTGGTAATCTTCAAATCAGTATGCAACATATTACCTTCGTATGCTTCCTTATTTATTAAAGAACCAAATGACCTCCTCTTCTCTCATTAACCAAATCCAATAATTGATATTTCTGATGATAATTAAATTATGTTTACGTTATATAATTATATCGCTACTTTGGAAGAAAACCGGCACAACTCAAACTTACTAGTTTTGAGAAAATCCCATGCAAAGATTTAGCCAACGTTTAACTGAATATCACTTATCTCTATAAAATAACATTAAACAACGTAAAAGATATTGCTAAAGTGCATTCTTAGAGTTAACTTTTCCATAATTTTTTCTATTTTAATCTAAACATAAGAAGAAAAATAAAATACTCCAATGGTTTCGACTTTAACACTTTAGTTCAAATTGAAATTTTTTTTTAGTAAACGGCTTTGACTTGTGACATTTAAAAAAATAAATTTTAGCTTTTATATCTATGAAGGGCAATTAATTCAAACAATAATTAATTATAAGAAAATAATTTTATTTTATAAACACGACATAACACAAAAAATTATTTGAACCAAAAAATCGGTCTGCGCAATTCTTTTGAATTGTTTATTTTCTTAAATTATTATAAAAATCAAAGTAATATTTTGGGACTACATTTTTATCAATTAACTGCAACAGTCCGGTCTTTTTAGCCTCTGTTATGCCAGTTAACTGTTCAAACTTTGCCAAACTACAGACAATGTGACACTGTTACCCCAATGGCTAGAGCAGGCTTTGATAATTCAACATTACCTACCTACCGGCCGGCCGGCCGTCCGAATACACAAGTTACTTTTGTGACACATTTTCACATAAAAATTTACTACATTTTCGTGTTGATTATGACAATCGAAAAATCGCACTTTGAGTTATGCCGGTTTTCTTCTAAAGTAGCGATATGGTAACCAAGCTAGAATATACTACACAAAGTGGCTGTGACCATAGTTACAGCGCTCTTGGTAGAAACGACGGAAATATTCCAGCTCATCGCCTTTACATAACAAATTCCACGCCTCCTTGACAAAAACGAAAAATGGGATGTATTCAAGTTTCTTCAAACATGGCGTTGCTTCAGCCACTCTAACTCGTTGATGGTAACACAGACATTTTGTTACACCTAAATATATTCTTCGAGTGTTAATTTTGTATGCTTCTAATCACTTATAACGTGATTTTCCATTCTGGTCTACATCAGTAATGACATTGCCAAAAATTTATATACATATTACTGGATTTTGTACAGTGGAGATCATGCGTTATATCTCGAATGGGTTCAGAATTTATTAGCATTTACAATTTCTTTAAAAACTCTTTCCCCCTCGAAAATTAGACGTTTTTTTTTTTTTTTTACTTTTATATGATTAATAGTAGCATTCTAACTTATGTACAACTCTTGCTTTTTCGACCAGCAATAATTTTCTGTTCTAATTGTATTAAATGCCAATTTCAGTGCCAGTCTATATCAACTCTGTTCAGTCGTGTAACACATAATTAAGCCCTATTTTCAAGAAAGCAGCTCAATTTATAATACAAGAATATAGAAAATTTCAGACTGACTTTACGAAATTGCATTATTAGAAATACAGTTTTTGATTTTTGCTATATAAAAAAATATTCAAAATAAATCATTAGTCAATGAATCGAAATTCCTGTCCACTCAAAGATTGACGTCACAAATTACAATATCTCTTAAAAAAACATGAAAGGTTAAACAGATTAAACGTATTATTTACAACTAATAATTCGCTTGCAATTTTTTAAGATAATGTAGTTTTACATCTGTTATTTTTCAGAAAAAACAATCTAATTTATAATCTTATCGATGCATTACAGAATTATCCTTTCTTTCGTTACTTTCAATTTTTATCGGTACAGTAATACCCCGAACTTACGCGATAGGTGGGACCGAGCGATAACTGCGTAAGTCGGGGTATAAATTCGCAATTTGTGTAAAATCCAAGTACAGTAGAACCTCGATTATCCGGACTAATTGGGGATGAAGGTAGTCCGGATAAGGAAAAATCCGGATAATCAAAACAAATACTTCAATTTTTCTTTTAATGATAATACAACACGTTTTCTTTTCGATGACATATCGGTGATATTAAAAGTAAATACTGTATTTAAATCGTGGTCAAATTTTCAAGAAACAAACGTTCGTATTGAATTTGGACTACTACTGACCAACGCTAACAGACTACCTATTGTTTAAAAGGCCCTCTGGTGGCGCAAGAAGACGGATTTTATAAAATAAAAAGCAGTTGAAACTGCATTTTTATAAATAAAAATTTGACAAACTATTTATCGTTTTATGACGAGTAAAATTTTTTCGTCGCGTTCACGGCTTCTAGGTAATGCGTAAACCTTCGAGGCGCGAGGCCCTTCAGACCGCGAGGCATAGGCGGTGGCCCACGTCGTCTATGCCTTACGCCGCCCTTGGTCATAGAAATGATGTAATTTGAATATAAATTATTTATAAATACGTATGTCAAGTTATATTTTTATTACTACGTAAAATATATTTAAGAGTTTACGACCACTGTGATGGGTGAGACGTTGTTGAAACAAAAAAAGTTATGCATTCCGTCACGTACATAAACAGTGTCGTAATTCGCCAAGTGCAAATCAGCAAATTCGTAAAATTTTTGTTTATTTTGAACAATCCGGATAATCGAAAATCCGGATAATAGAGGTCCGGATAATGGAGGTTCTACTGTACGATGTATTTAAGCTAATAAATGTTCTCGTTAATCTTATCTCGTCTTTTGATTCGTTCACGGTTACAAGAAATCACCATATAGTGTCTCTCAAGTCTCCGTAGATATAACAAACACAGAAATCAATAACACAAAAATTGTAGCTATGTGTCGATTCCGCGCTACACGTCCGAACATGTAAGCTGAACAATAGTATGGGGGGGAGTGAGTAATCAAGAACTGCGTGGCGCTCAAACAAAAGACGAATCGACGAGATTTGAAAATCGCGTAACTCCGGGTTCGCGTAAGTCGAGGTATTACTGTATTGATATGAATTTTTTTTTTTTTAAATTAAAGCAGATCCCACATCGAGACTGTTATACAATAAAAATATAGATATGTAAATACTGTTTTATATGGTCAAATTATAGTGCCACATGATTGGTAGTATTTATACAGTGCATTTCCTGTAAGAATGTCAATTTATGACAGTGATTATGAAAAATGGGATAGTTCGCTTTGACATTCTTCTCTGGCATCAATGAAGGTCGTAAAAGTGGAGTCTACTCTATAAGCCTATTTTTATTTTTAGTACATTTAATTTATTAGGGCTTTACTTTGATAAACAGACAAATTTTGGGGGACGATATCTCGCTAAGGGTCACACGTAGAAATATGGTTCCTTTGACTTTGCTCCTCGAGTATGCTCTACAACTTTGATAAAGTCACAACAGTCTCATTTGGAGATTGAATTGAGCCGTGTCCTTGTTATCCCTTACATTTTCAAGTTTTTAAATTGATATAAGCGCTTTTTTTTATTGTTTGATTCTTAGTTAGTTATCACTGTTGATAACTTTAAGAATCAAACATCATCTTCAGGTCTATGTATAATCCGGAAACCGTAGTTTCCGGATTATACATAGATCGCATACGACAAGAATACCCAAAACTGATCCGTAATAATTAGAAACAAATGAAACAGGTTAATTAAAATAATTTTCGAAATACTGTAATACTAACACAGATGCCCCTCTGGTCCTTAGTTTTCTGGTCGCGATTTTCGGTTCATTTTCCGTTTTTGACTTGTCCACGTCTTTACTGCGAATTGTAACTGTAAAAAATACTCTACAACCTGTTTTTAAAAACTGAATGTGAACGTTTTCAAAGTGGAGGTTAAAATTCATCATTCTTTGTAAATCACATGGCTTGTTAAGTCGCGTTGAAGTGCCATTAACGGGCTAATTACGAAAACACGGAAGAAAAAAGAAAGGCAAACAACCAGTTAGACAATAGAGCAGTGATTTTATTTTCTGTTGTTGCAGTTCTAAAAATGTCTTAACAAATAACAGTGATCGTTCAAGTACAACAATATATCTAGCACCTTTATAAAGGGCAATTGCAGTTTAGTTAAAGACCAAAAAACCAGTTAGTCTGTCTGTGTAATATAACAACCGTTTCAAAAATATTAAGAAAAGTCAAAAGCGGAGCGAAATACTCCAATTAGGTGTGGGGTAACCGTGGGTATCGATTAGGAAAAAAAATCATTACAGTAAACATGGCGTAAGTTTTTCTTTTTGCGGAAGGCACAGACATTCTAAAACCATGATATAAAAATCTTCAGCATCGAATCGAGAAATGGATAAATGCAAAAATGGCCGGTTTGGAAGTCCTCTTTGTTTCGCTAAAAAAGAAGACGAACGTGAAATTTGAAAATGTAGATGCGACAATACCATCGTCGATTGTAGAAAATAGAAATTTTTGGTCTGAATGTATATAAAAAACTATGATATAGCGATACCGAGATGTAATTTCCTTTTTTTTTTTTAGTTACTTTTCAAACGTGTATATGCAAACCACTTCTAAGACAATATACATTTATATATTTTACAGTTCCTAACTAAGGAATCACATTTTTTTTTTTTAATATTTTATTTGATCTTGTTTACGATTGCAACTACTACCTGGCTCGGTTATTCGGAAGCATTCTTAAACCAGCCTCGAAGTAAGTAAATAATTGCTCCCGATATAAAATTTACTAAAAAAAACAATCATTCAAAAAAGTCGCCAAGACTAAATTAAGTGCACAAACAACAAATTGTTAATCGGAAATGTTAATCTAAAAAAAAAAAACAAAACAAGACGTTACTAAAGGCTGACGTGGAATGCTTCAGTTAACAGTTATCAAAAAGATGGCGGACTAAGTCACGGGTTCGTTCTTCCCATTACTACTACTTTAAAAAAAATTACAAATATAATGACAATTCTATCGGCAATTCCCCCCTCTGGTGTGTTTGGTAATACGTAGAGAATGGAAAAAAAATCACAGGACGGCAAATGCGTGATAAAATGTAACAGTAAATTACATATTTTCGAACTGATCGACTCTTCTCTTGGTATTTCCTTTGCGAATCTCGCGGAGCGTCTTGTATTTGTCACGTCCTTGTCTAACGTTTTCTTGATGAAGAAGATCGTTACGAGTCAATTTTGTATCGTCCTTCGCTGTAGCTAATTCTTTACTAAGCATCTGAAATAAATCGTGAAAGAATATTTTTAATTTTAATAAAAACATTGTTACTTTCTATTTTGAGAATTTGCAAAATGTACACAACATATTGTGCACCAATGAAAAACAATCAGTGTGACACTACCTAGAAAGACTTAACACAGTTCAAGTATTATATATATGATTAGACTCCATTTTTCTGCATGGATATTTTAGGAGAGATATTAAATAACAATTTTCAATTAAATCCAGTCACTTACTTTTAGTTGGTCTTGTAAATGTTTTTCTTTTGATACTTGAGTGCTACGTTCTTCTTCCGGACGGGGTAAATTTATATTGTCGTCTCTAGATAATTCGGCTCCTATAATTAAAAGGATGAAAACTTAGATAAAAATAATTTTTTGATACCGGAAAAATAAATCATAAGAATCCCCTTGTCGAACAGTTATTCGTTTACTTTCAACGTCTAATTAAGAATATTCACCTTGCTTACCATATTCACCACCATTTGTTAATTCGTCATTTTCTTCGTGTTCGTCTTCCCGAACGTGATGGTGATTGGGAGTCGATGTTGCGGCCAGTAGTGCTGCCGTTGCCTCTTCTTGCCTGCGGCGTGCATCTTCCACTTCGTCTTGAAGCTTACGTGTTTCTTCGTCTTTCAAGTTTACCTCCTCCTGAATGCGTAATACTTCTTCTTGTTTGGCTCTTATCGCCTCTTCCTAAAATTCATTATATCCAATTACAAGATATACAAATTTGTAAGCACTCTCATTCAAATAAATGCTATTAAAAACTCTTAAATCATCAAATGTTAATTCCACAGACAGAAACAACAGATTGCGTTTGAAATATCAAGCGAGATTTAATTGTACAGAAGTCATCTTCAAAACAAAACAAAAAATTAATTAAAAAATTGAAAACTAAGTCTCAGTTTATTTCATGTAAAGTATAATTCAAACTACTACTCGCATCAAATTATCTTGCACTTCAGCAATACTATTTACATTTTTTTATTACATATTATTACATTGGTAGAGGGAAGCAGTCAAGTAAGTGAGCAAGCGAACGAACAAACGAATGGCTTAACAAAGGAAACCTTACTATACTGGAATTAGAACATTTTCAGTCTATCCCAATTCACATTTTATTAAAAAACTAGATATATGTCTTGTACGGGCAAAATACAAGTACCATCATCTGCTTTTCAATCTATGTATCAAATTTCATCCAGTTCTGTCCACTTCAAAATTCTTCTTTTCTCCTTCAGTCAAAAAGTTACGTTTCATGAAATGTCTGCTAGGGCACGCTCATCATTATGTTCGTCATTTTAATTTTTTTTTGGAAATTTTTTTAAACAACACAATATTGAACTTATTTAAATTATATTAGTTATATTAATATAATGTTCAAACTCTAAATTAGAGATGGGAAAAATCCATTCATCCATTTCATTATTGCCTCTGGAATTGAAACTGTCGGAAATGATTCAAGTGTGGAACTATTCTGACCAAACGATCTCTCAAAACTGCTTAGTCTGTTGGACTACACCAAGGGTGGCAAACGTGATATCTTATTATGTTATGTACCAGATGATATCTCCTTACATACCCTGTGGCACGTAATGAGATATCATCTGGTACATAATGCACTATAAATTTCGATTTATCATCTGTTTTTTTTCAATCATCCTTTCGATTTATCACCTGATTATCCTTTTCTTCAATCAAGTTTTTTTACATTTATTCTAATTAAAAAATAATTAATTCATTCAATTTATTTAAATATCATTATTCGAAGTCTAAAACTTTGGCAAACATAAACATCTTTAATTTAAAGCTAAATATGCTTACTACGTAGCATGCAGGCTCAAAAAGGTTTACCAAGAAATCAATACATTGTCGGAATTGCTGTTGGAATTAACGGTTTACGAGTATCATCAGTTACATATATAATAAAATATTTGTCTCTCTCTCTATTCCTAGCTTTTTGGTCGATCATCACAAAATTTTTCTTGCTTATTCTCTACGATTCTGAGGGAAACAAACTACTATTAAACCTGGACACCTGGCTCATCTCTTAATTTCATCACCCTTATTAACTCCTAAACCTTTTCCCTGATCTGTATCAAATTTTTTATATTTATTCCATGGGACTCAGAGGAAAATACAGACTTCCACGAAATTTGAATGCTCCACTCTCCTCCCGATTTGATCTTCTTCACACTTTGTAATAAACATAACAATGGTAGGATGAAATAACCAAATTTTGTAATATAGTTTTCATTTTAACGTTTATCCATCTTATTTTTTGGCCAGTTAATGTTGCACATTATCTGGTAGTTTACTAATGAAAACAAGAAATTATGAACTCTAACAGAAGTATAAATTTTTAAAATATATTTATAAATTCAACATACTCAAAACTAATTTCATTATTTGTTAAAAGTCATGAAATGCTGTCAATTAGTTTTATGTTCAAATCCAGATAAAGGGTTAACTGTTCCATTAATAGCTGTACAGTATTCATAAAACTACAAAATGAAGAATGCTGGTAGTGCAGAAACTGAAATTGTCTCCACACTCAATGTGGAACTGTTTCTAGTAGTTTCTGAAGCAATTCTGACCAGAACTATCCACAACTCTGAAAAGTTTGAGATTAGAATTGTTGGAAGTAGAAGGCATCAATGCATATTTGTCCTACATAGGATATTTTTTTTTTCTTCAAAATTCAAAAATGTAATAAGATTTCATTTCATTATTCCAGTTTTATTAAATTATGAATCATTTATTTACCGAGCTGTTTGTTAGTGATAAAACAACTGTTATACTTTAGGAGCTGTCCATAAATGATGTTCACACTGAAAGGAGGAAGGAAGTTATGACAAGTCAGATAAGGAGAATTGTCGAACTTCAGTGGACATCTGTTTATTTCAAAGTTCCTTGTATGTTTTATTTCTACTTATGGCATCCATCATTCATAAAGTGGTACAGGTTATAAAGGAGATTGGGTTTTTCTGGATGTTCAACGAGGGGAAGTAAAAGTTTCAAGAAAAATGCAGACATAATTGATGAACAATCCTAATAAAAAACTAGATGATTTGTATATGATTTGTTTTGCATGTATTCTACAAAACTGTACTTATTATTTCTCTGTATCTGGACTGATGACTATTATTTCTCTGTATCTGGACTGTTCAAAGTGGTATTCTTATGCTATTTATATTTTAAAGAAGAGATGTTATGCAAACACTTCAAGTGAATTTTAAATGGAAAACAAATGGTTGGTGTTTAGATGTAGTGGTAGCCCATACACAACTTTTACTTTAAGAGTAACACTGAAGAGGGGTTGGATGAGTATACCAACCCGAAATGCATATGTCATTTTTTAAAGAATAAAAGTGAGTTCCTAACTAAAAGTTTTTCTGTGAGTCCGTCTACCAAAAATCTTTTGGATTACAGAGACGAATTATATACATAGTACTTATTATTGATTATATACAAATTCTGCAGAGCAATGATAATTGGATTTTGTCTTATTAAAACACAAAATGTATTTGTATATACAATTCTGTAAATTATGATAAATTATCTACAGAACTCAAAAGTATTCTTACAGAAATTACATCCATATATTAACTCTGAAATCTCTGAACTTTGAGAGTATAGCAACGACTAAATAAAGTTGAGTGCAGTGTATACAGAATCGCTTTTGCTGTCTCTCTAACATTTAGTGTCAAACCCGATACAATTCAATACAATCATAGACCACTATTTTTGACACCACTATCACAGTTTTTGATGTCATAATGATTACTTGACATCCCTGATATCACAACTTTCTATAGCAAAAAAATTATGAATGTAAAATGTAGTTATTGAATGAATGTTTCATACTTATTGTGTTTCATGTATATCTGATATTAAATGGTAATAGTTTGAAAACAACTGTTCTACACAGACTTGATAGCAGCTTCTGTACTTGTAAACCTTACAGATATGTTTTTGGAGATATTCACATAACAAAACTATTAAGCTATCTTCAACTAACTCGTAAGGAGTGTTATTGATAGTACAGTTTTTGGTCATAATTTTTAAGGCCACAAGAGCAATAAAAATAACTGTATAATACTCTTGGAAATCCATGAATATGGAACTGTGTAATATTTGTACAAAAATATTTACACAAAAATCAATATCATTTCAAGTGAAAAAAATTTCAAAAAAGACTTCATAATTTAATAAATATTAGCAGAATCTGGATCATCATAAATTATTTCTATAAACTGACTTAAACAAATTTTATTTAAAAACAGTACATCAGTACACAGATAATTCAGCAGATTATTTGAGTTTTTGAATAGATCAAGTATGGATGCTACTGTGTGCACTTGTACATGTGTATAAAAACAATATATTTATGTTCCATAAGCTTGTAGATTTCAATGTCTAATTATAATTATAATAAAGAATATACAGGTATACCTCGACTTACGTCGTTTTTCGACTTAAGTCGTTCTCCTGGAACCAATTACCGACGTAAGGCGAGGTATACCTGTATCTCTTTTAGAATTCAAATTGTTTTTCCTTCTTTACAATAAAACTTGTCAAAAATTTTAAGATTAGTAATTTTACTAAGATGTATGCAATTGTTATAATGAACAATTTAACTACCAGTCGACCCCCCTATAACACTGTTGATAATTCCGTTTTATATGAATTCCATGTTGTACGAATCACTTAGATTTTACAAATACGTGAGCCGTTCACAGTCCGGCACACATATTTGTAAAATCTAAGTGACTCGCACAACATGAAATTCATATAAAACAGAATTATCAACAGTGTTATGGGGGGGGGTCGACTGGTATTTTAAATTTAAAATCTTACCAATTTAAGTTTTTCTTCACTCTCCATTGCTTTATCATGTTCTAATTTCATCATCATTTCCTGTAGTTCATTTTGTTTTTGCTCTAAATGTTCTTTTGCTTGCTGCATTATTCGTAATTGTTCTTCTAGACGACGTATGGTGTCCTGTGCTTCGACTAATTCTAAAATTTAACAAAAAAACACACATACAAAAATTATTTTTTAAGTCTGAAACTATATTATCAAATAAACTTTTGTTTTTTTTAATCTTTTTTCTTGTTAAAAATTGCAATAGTTTTCAATTTATTTGTAATTCCTAAAATTGAAATCATAAAGGTGTCCAAAGATTTTGGTCATTTTGCTCAAGATTTACCCCTCTGCCTTCTTTCCATTTCGTCTTGCATTTGTTTTAATCTTTCAGCATATTCCTGCTGTTTTTTCTCTGCTAATTCACGTGCCTCCATTTCTTTCCTTAGCTTTTCTCTGAAAATTAACCAAGTCTATCATGAAATTAATGAAAAAACAAAGTCATTACGAGTTACTGCTGACAAGAAGTGTTTAAGTACCTTTCTTGTTGTCGTGCCAATTTTTCCTCTCTAGCCTGTGCTTTCATTTGCTGTACTTCAATAGTATCTGGTTTACGGCGACGCATATATAATTCGTGATTTCCCATACAAAGTGCTAAAATACGTTTGTTGATTCTTAATCTTGGAGCAAAAAAAACAAAATCCTATAAAAAGAACATACAAAATTATCAGCTTAATAATATAATAAAGATATTCTTCAAAATCAAAAATCATATTTATAATAGAATCTACAGATAAATTTAAAACAAAGCTTGTATATTGCTATTTTTCATTATGTTTATAAGTTTATAAATAGTCTAGCATTGTACATCATAGTGTTTGCATAATAATTTAATTAATATAAAGTTATATTTTAAAACTAGACCATTGGCAATGTTCAACTGTTGTCAACAACTATAAGATCAACATATTTCATAAATTTCCTTACCCAACTGAGAATATGATCCTTTTAGATATTTATAAAATTTGATATGTTAAGATATGCTAAAGTACAAACACACAGCAGCTTCTATCAATCTGATCATCATCATCATTTAATGTACAGTAGAGCATCGGTTATCCAAAAGCCGGTTATCCGAAAGCATTCCAGTCGGCAAATTTAAATTTTCGCTAGTGCTGTGGCGTTGCAATATTTGGCTATATCTTGGGCTACTCCAATATTTTTTTGTTGGTGTGCATGGTTTAGTTGGCAGCACTGGCACTTTTGTGTGGTGTTTTTCTGAGGACTGTGCAGCATTGCCATTCCTAGTACATTTGTACTTTTCGGGTACATTTTGCCCTTTCGAGCACATTAAAAGTACACTTAGATTTTTAGTACATTTTGACTACATTATAATATTTCAGTACTATTTACGGTACAAAATAATATTACATGCCTTAACGAAAAAAATGTGAAAAAATTAGTTCAATAAAGTCTCACTAGTGTCACCACTTGCTAATTAGATTTACCCAATCACAACATACACATGGTGTATATCGGTCGACATCAACAACATACAGATAGTTGCACATGCAAATGTTATGACTCAGTGGTCCTATTTCACGCGTGTCACATTCTCACGAGGACCTCGACAAAATTTTTTCACGCCACATGGTCCAAACAGTTCAACTCTGTCAAACAAAAATATTGGACAGATAAGGAAATCAATGATTTTAAACTTTTGTCATCAATAATATCAAAATAGCCATTAAGTCAGAGTCTATTACACAAAATAGTTTTGAAATTGTACAGTACAAATAATATAAATACTTTTATATTATTTTCTACCACTATAATTTAATTCTTAATTATGAACTTCAATTTTAGTAATCTTGGTAAAAGAAATAACTTTTTTTAATTTGAATCTGTCCACGCATATTTAATTTATAATTTNAAATAATTAAAAAATACTCTCTCTCTCTCTCTCTCTCTCTCTTAATTTAATTTATAACAATTATGTTAAATCTAATTCAATTAATGTTTAAGGAACTATCTTGTTTGCCTTTAAAATATACAGTAGAGCGTCGTTTATCCGAAAGCCGGTTATCCGAAACGTCGGTTAGCCGAAAGCATTTCAGTCGGCAAATTTAAATTTTCGTTAGTGCTGTGGCGCTGCAATCTTTGGCTATATCTTGGGCTACTCCAATATATTTTTTGTCGGTGTGTGTGTTTTAGCTGGCAGCCCTGGCATTTTTGTTTAGTGTTTTCTAAAGACTGTGTGTCGTGCTGAATCGAACGTTTTTGATACTAGTTCAATTTCTAAAGTATATATTTTTTGGTTTTTATATTTTTCAATATATTTATTTTGTTTGTAAAAAATAAAGAAATAATTTTTAACAATACAATAGCCACAATTATTGTTTTAAAAAGTTTACTTTAGGCTTAACATCAATGAAAATTCAATACAAAGCGACACACAACGGAGAAAAATTTCAACATGGGATAGGTTAATATATTTTTTCGTATATAATTGATTATCCGAAAAATAAGTTATCCGAACAACCTCAGTCCCCAAATGATTCGGATAAATGACGCTCTACTGTAGTTTCTTTCTTACTATTTTGTATATTTTGAAATAACAACAAATACACACTCCTTCACAATTCACTTTTATCATTTGAAGCACCTCATTATTAATTTAATTTAAACAATTCATAAATTATTGTAATTCTTTCAGTATTAGAAAATCAGAACTACTACTTAGTTTTACAATGATTGATAAAGTGAGGTCAATGCCTTGCAACATCTTTTTGGTTCAGATTTAAGTCAATGACTACTCTGTCTACCATTACAACCTTATTTTATAATGCAAGCTTATAATAAACCATTTTATAGCAAAAATTACCAATGAGCAAACTCTCTAATCATGTTATGCTATCTATTATTAAAAAAATTCATTAAAATTTTAAACCTGTTTTCATAGGAATATAAAAATTACAATAATCTCCTTCAGAAAATGGATAAAAACTTGATTATATATAAACCATATATATTTACTAAGAACTTAATTTAATGCTGTTGATCTGTTTATAAAAGTTAGTCTTTTAATAAATTTTAAAATTTTAAGTTCTCTCTTTAGCATTTAAAAATCTTCAATATTAAAATACCTATAATGACTAAAATAGCATCATCATAGAAAAATTAAAAGTTGATAAACATTATGCAACAAAAATACATGTTAAAAACAAATAATGTACTTTTCTGTTTGCATTATATGACTAATTAAAAAACTTAAATTAATAATTATAATTATTACTGTAATATAAATTTTCTTGACAAACTGCAATGAGGAAAAATTTTTAAATATCTTAAATCTATCATTATATCATACAGAGATCATAAGTAAATCCTCAAAGTTACAACAGCAGCTTAAATTGCCTTATGTGAAGTCCAAACCTTTCACTAGAATGTTGAAAAAAGAAATTTGTTACATAAAAGCATTTTTATCAAACCAACCATCATTAGAGAAAAGAAAAAAATTGTGTTTTGTATTAAAAGACACAGGTTTGCATTAAGAGATACAGACACAGTTTTGTATTAAAAGATAAAGGGAGAGAACAGTGAATAGAGAATTTTCACCTGTCACTCTGATGGTCATGGGAAAAACAAAGGAAAGTGTCTTATTATATAACTATCTCATGAGACAGTTGAAACATTTTAGATATAGCTGCAACCTTTTAGAGATAGGAAAGAAAACACATTATTGCAAATTATGGACAAGCAATCTTGAAGTTCAATATTAACTTCATATGAAAATCAGACCCAACAAATTTGATGAGGATGCCAACCTTAATCAGATTTGGTCCCTATCATCATCAGGAACCAACTGGAAAGCATGTGGAGGTAGATGAGAACCAATATGAATGTTGGAGCATGGATCAGAATCCTTTAAAAGCCTGTCTCTCCAAGGATGTAGGATCTTTTTCCTCCAAGAAGATCCGTGATATTTCCCCTAAAAAGATCAACATTCCTATGCTAACCACCAGTTCTAGACTTGGTCCAACATGAATGGAGGACTGAAAAAGATCCCATCATTCACCAAGAGAAAGAATCACTCCCAATTCTCTCCTAAAGACTGAATTCATTCTTTCCTTCATGAACATCATTTAACTGACAACAACAAACCTGGGGCCAACTAGCTATATGGATTGCCAACAGATGCAAGTCAAAGTAAAATATCATCACACAAGTCTCAGACTGATTAGATCTTGTCTTATTCACATACAAGGAAACTGTTATCTGTAAGCCATCCTTTTGTTACCTCAGTAAATAGAAGTCTTGTCTTTGTATCAACCACCACCATCCAGATATGATTTACCTCTTACATCAACCTGAATCAGAAAGAAACTATTGCTAAAACACAAGAGGTAGGGTGTATCACCAACTAGCACTGGCAAGCTTATACTTATTAATTATATTTCATATAATATTTAATCACTAAATTAAAACTAAGAAATGTAAATATAGTGGGTGATCGGTTAATGAACATAATATGCTCCAAGTCTTTGTTTGCTATCCGAACTGTTTGTTAACTGATTATCGATTTCAAATTCCCATAAAAACCTATGGTTTTTATGGGAATTTGATTAATTCATTCTGGAGACCCCAAAAAAATACACTTTTGTTTATTTATATGTAATAATAAAAATAGATATATACACAGTCTTGAATTTTTATTAGTTGTGTTTTTTTCCATTTGTGGGGGTTAAAGAATGTCTAATTTTGATTGCTTTTCTCTCTTCAAGATTTTTCAGAAGTAATTAATAGCATTATAATTGTAGAGATCTGCAAGCATATTAACCTGGTTTGGATGCCATTCTAAGACCGTTGTTCTGACATCATCCCACTTCTTCAAAAGATCTTTAATGGCAGATATTGGCATTAATCCTGTTTTTCAGAAAAAAACACATCTCACCGAGTTTCTTGGTATTCTTCATTCAAGAGTTCTTGGCATTCTTCTGTCATCAGATCAGTTTCCATTATGAGCTCTTCAATATTCTTTATTTCTCAGATGTGATTTTTGTTACTTCCTTTATCTGATTGAGTTTTTTTGATTATACAGTACCTTTCTTAGATAAGATTAAACTGCCGCCTACTATAGACCTGTTCAAGCCATACTGCCCAGCAACATAAAACATCTGCCCACTCTCTACCTTTGCTATTATACTCTCACCTTTTGAAAATACATACCCATGCAAAACTTAATGAGTGCCTGCATGACAGTCTCACGAATATTATAAAAGAATTGTTTCTGTCAGAAAAATAAAAGGCTGGAATTACAAGGGAAAGTTTCAAAGTTCAGAGAAATACTATCCAAGCAGTATATACTAGGCTGAGCGTCAATGTCAACGTCTCCCATGCTCCAAAAAGTTTCGAATTGTTGTCTGAAGACCAATCGGTATTCATTATTTTACATTGCTTCTTCTTGTGTTTGTTCTGTGAGGTGTTCGTTGTACGAACATAAAAATCTTTCGCAAAAGTGTTCGTTATCTGATTTGTTCATTAACCGATCACACACTATACTAATAAATGCAATTCATGCAATTCTCATAACAGAATTTAGAAGTTATAAAACTTGTAACAAATATTTAATATTAATTGCTGATTGTACTAATTATAGGCTGAGACACAAATTATTATTTTTAGACAAATCAAAATTATTTACTTACTGGAGCTTTTTTGTCAATAGGTTTTATGACAAATTTTCTATCATTAAAGGATATATTTCTTATTTCACTCCAAGGAAATCCAATTTTAGGAGTTAATCTAAATGTTTAATTTTAAAACTTAAATTTTTAATACAAAAAAAAAAACTATTATAATAAATAAAAAATAAGACCTACTTATCTTCTTTCTCATAAATATTTAGTCCTAAAGCATCGACTCCTAGCCATAAATCAGTTCCTTTTTTATTTTTGATATCAAAATAATTCACTCCATACATTTCAAGATCTTGAGCAATTTTTAAATATTCCATCATTGCATCTTCCCTATAATTAAAAAAAAAATTTAACAANATACAAATTAATATAAAAATAACTTAAAATTAAAGTAAAATTTGTTTATTTTTGGTTGCGTGTTTCCCCATCTCTATTTACTCTGTTAAAATGATCTCGTTTAATGCTGTTTCACTTATTGCTTTGTTGTCTAGGAACGCATCCTGTGTTAAGTGGGGTCTTACTGTAGTTGAAAAATATGCAATATATATATTGCATATTTTTCAACTTCAGTAAGACCCCACTTAACACAGGATGCGTTCCTAGACAACAAAGCAATAAGTGAAACAGCATTAAACGAGATCATTTTAACAGAGTAAATAGAGATGGGGAAACACGCAACCAACAATAAACAAATTTTACTTTAATTTTAAGTTATTTTTATATTAATTTGTATAATAATATATGCTAAATAACACAAACAGGCACACAGAAATGTAAAGTTCATTTTTTTGTGATGAAGGTCCTTACTTTTCTGAAATTTTTGTTCTTTTGCAATAAAGTTGTGTGAGATAAGCAGGGGGTCGCGGGCAATCCAATGACCACTTACTGCACAAGATCTTGCAATCCGATCTCTAACTTTTAAGGAGGGTGTTAAAAGTGTTTAAGAAGGATGGAGACGTACAATTGTATAATCCAGGATTCCTGACACCAGATAGTCAATTACGCAGGCTATCACGCATATATTTCTTCTTAAAAATGTCTGGCATTCAAGGGACAATGTCAGAATAGATCATAGGAGGGTTAACAGTTGAGCAAGTGAAAGTGCTTATTAAACCAAATGGAAACCAATCTCATTATAAACAAATAATATTTCATAAAACTAAACTAAAGAATGAATACCAATATAATACAATTAAACAAATTATAATAAATGGAATCACAATGATACAAGCCAAGATTTATCTCGTAGGGGAATTAGATTATCCTACCTTAAGCTACGTTTAATCTATTTACGCTAAATCCAACCCTTATGCGCGGAGAGAGAGTTTACATCAATCTATCATGTTATACTACCTTATTACTTTTCTTCATTTAATATATTCTTGATATCATTTTATATATTCATTTAATATATTTTCTCAAAAATATATTCTTTTAATATATTCTTGAGGAGGATCATCTATGGATGCTTACTTCGTGTAGCACTTAGTATGGCAAATTCTATCCTCTAAGATCTGGACTTCGTAGAACTGTTCTGAATAGTATGGTGAATTCAGTTATCTTTAGGATCTCCCGTGAACTGCCAGGAGTGGCGGAAAAATGTCCCTTTTATACGAGTCAACAGCCTAACTGACGGCCAAGTCGCGTGTGCGGCCACTTCTGTCTCAACTTCAAGTCGGCCATAGAAAAGGAAATCAACTTTCTTTCTATAACAAAAGTATTGACATCCGTTGTTCGAAATAAAATTTGTTAAAATTTACAAAGTATTATTTTCTATTAAAAATTATGTCATTATTTCACAAATAAATTCTTTAGAAGAATCTCTCTCCACTTCAGGATTCTCACAGTTGTGAAGTTTCATTTGTCGCTTTTTTCTTTCCTCAAGCGAATGTTGCTAGCAGAAGATCGCATCCAAAATGCCTCATTTTGCTTTTGCACTCCTTTCCAAAATTTAGATCACTCGCTACAATTTGATCAATGATTTCAGTTATGAAGAGGGGCCAATGCCCGAAACGCGTAATGTAAAAGGCGTCCCAACTGAATAAATAGTCAATAAGTTGCCAAGTGTTGATATATGTCACCTTAGTGTGTCTGCAAAGAAACAGATTTCAGTTATCTTACCAAACTTTTACTAACGAAATCTGTTCAGAAATTTTTTGGCTTCTTTGTTTTCAGAATATCTGTTTTCCAGTTCCACATGAATTCCATGTTCCGCCAGTTCTTGTAGGTCGTCGTTGGTAAGGCTATCACCAGAAACTTGCGGTAACTCCTCAATATCCTGCTTTTCTATATCTCCTAGTCCTGCTATATCGATTAGGTTGAGTCGGTTAACCTAACAATACAGCGATAGGCTATTCTCATTGAGAATTCTTTGATACCTTTAGCCATAACTTCTTCCACACTTCATTCGTGTATTTATCAGTTAATTATTGCCAAGCAAAGTCGATATTTCCTACGGCATCCATAATGTCATATTTTTTCCAAAATTGCACCAAACAAACAGATTTAAAGAAAGTACACCTTTTTGCCTTTTGCTGATTCGTAAATAATCATATTATATTCAAATCAATAAAATGCTGCGATAATTTAAATCAGCATAAATTTTGAGATATTTTTAGGTTTTAAGCAGACTGTGTTATATCGAATCAGTGTTAAGTGAGACAGTGCTAAATGGGATCTTACTGTACTGTAGTTCAAACAAACTATTATGGTTTTATATAGAAATAAAAATGTAATATTCTTTTCTTAAAAAGTTACAATTTGAATGTGTTAATCTTAAAATCAGCTACATATTTTTCAAAAGAAAGCAAAATTTTGTTTTTTCAAACAATTAGTACACACAAAAAGTTGTATCTGATAGATATTAAACTCAAATAATTAGTAATAAAAAAATCTAAATAAAAGTGGCAACTCTTCATAATTTCCATAAGTTTTATACTTGAAATTAAAAAAAAAGAAAATAATAATAATAACTAATCATATATTTTTCAGCCCTCAAGAACCCTTTTTTCCATGCTAAACCCTCTTTTTTGGTTTCCATAAGCTAATGGAAAGTTTATGCAACAGTGCTCATTAACATTTTTGGTGAAGTTGTAATGCAAACAACCTAAGTTCAATATAGTATTATAGGTAATACATTGCATTTTTTATTCTTCTTTGGTTTATCTCTGTACTACATACATCATTAAAAACTGTAGTCACAGCATAAATATACTTTTTGGTATGTATCACATGCGATGTAATTGTGTAATTTTTGTGGCAACTATTGTATATATTCCAGTGATATTTTCAATGTTTAAAATCTTAAATTTCTGGAAATTTAGAGAAATTCTCTTGCATTACATTTTATGATTTTTATATTGTTGAATCTTTTTCATGTTTTTTTTTTAAATATAGAAAACGACTCCCTACTTTCTTCCAACACAACTGGAAAAAGTATTTCCTTTTTAAGAGTAATTATTTATATCATAATAAATCAACAAAAATTAAAATGCACAATAATTTATATATAAATTTTATTCAGCTCTGTTCTAGAAAAACCACAAACTTTAAAGATTCAAATTTTTCAGAGATTGACATGTTAAGAATTCTTAGATTTTTAATGAGTCACAATAATATACCACGACAATTTACAGTTAATTATGTTTATATTAAAGTTCTACATTTAATTAACATAAAAGTAAATTAATACTGTTATTTATAAATTTTGTATAATCATTAATTAGTATAAAGTATTTTGACAAGTTTATATTATTAAAATTTGATTTTGATGGAATAAAGCAATGCAACACATGGGTAATCTGCCAAGGGAATGCCTCACAGTAAGTCTTTCAATGAAAAACTGGCCTTTATTCAGGTTTAGGGATGTGAATAAAACAAAGAAAACTCCATATAGCAGTCTGTTAGTAATGCAAATTTACAACCAACTACCAATGTGTAGTGATTTTAGCCACTCGGCCAATGACAGGTACTTTTATATTATTAAAAATAGACTATAACACTCAATGAGCTAACATTTATTTCAGAAATTTTGAAACCAATATTAATATAATACAATTAATAATAGTAATACATAATATACCTGGGCATTCCTTTATGTTCAGCCCACCAATTAGTTATTCTTTCTTCCCACTGATCTCTAGATAATTTATGTTGATCCATTACTCTGAAAAAAAATTTACTATTTAAATAATTATAATATATTAAGCACATTCAAACTTTAGAAACAATGAGACAAGAACCCTAAATGTATCTAAAACTAAGAACAAGAATCATGCACTAATATATATAATATTCTTAAACCATAAGCCATCTCTCATGAAATTCATTTCATTCAACAAACCAAACTTTTCAATTTGTTTACAAGACTTCTGAAACAACATTAATATAATTCATCATCAGACAATTACAGTAAAATAAAAAAATACATTTTTGCAAAACCAAAATTAGTAATGTCACAGCCAGAAGAAAATAAGAAAAGTAAAAACAAATAATACAACAAGAGAAAACAACAGAGGGATTGCAGAAGATATGACAATTTATTTAACAAATGGGGAATTTCATATTCCAGTACCTTTGTCCTGTACTCTAAAAGATTATCTTATACAGTGGTAGAGAACATACTGTTTAAAGTTAGCAAATGAATCTGGTTCCATATAATTCCATCATCATTTTTCCACTAAACACACAAATTTAGCTTTAAAAAATTTTTAAAACTTCATGTATGTATGTATTAAAAAGCAAGAAATATTTTTTATATGCTTACAATTTCTGATAAAACACAAGTAGTCAGATTTATTAAAAGTTGAGAAAAATCTCATCTCATTTTTAATAAATTGTGGAAAGTCATTTTACAGTTTATTGAAATATAATAAAATGCATAGTGAAGAAAATTGGAAACAGCAATAGTACTTATTTCTGATAGCACAATTAGCAGATGATATTGAAGAACAAGTACTGTACATCATATCAAGGATTGTAGATGATTGTAGTGCAAGCAGATGAATCTACAGACATTACTGAAAATGCATTTGTCAGATTCATAAAAAATAACAATTATACATAATTTTTTTTGTTGCAAAGAACTTTCTACTTGAATAAAAGAATAACTGATCACATTATTTTCTAAGTAATACAAGAATAATCATAAAAATATGCTATATCAAAATTCCTGTAATTGTGTGGTTCTGTAATGTTAGAAAAATTAAAACAATTTATTAATACAACAAAACAGCATAATTCAGTTATTACAACAATTCACTGTTTCATACAAATGCTTGTACTAAAAAAAACCTGTACTTGATCAAGCATACAGTGAAATATGTTATAAATATGCCATTAAAAAACTCACCATCCTTCTCCAAACAAAATATATGGTTGTCATGCTTACTTCATACCAACCAAAATATGCAACATGTACAAATTTTCAAAATAAACTAAAAATTTGTGATTGGAATAGAAAACAATGACTAAGTCTTTTCTTTACTCCTCCTTATATGGTCATATACTTAGGAAGCAGAAATCCCCCTCACCTACATGAACAAAGTTTGTCAGTTCTCAAAAATCTGATAGATATCAGTTATCTTGATGTAGAAAATGAACTCATCCAACAATATTTTACTGAGAAATTTCCACATGGACATAAAAAAAGACCCCAGGAAAAAGAATTTTGGATAATCCAAACAGGTTTGAGCTCAAATTAATTTGGATTAGCAAGGTTCTATTGTGTGTCCAAACAGTTTATACATGATAAAATAATATCTAAATCTTTGACCTCTAAGTGTCTTTATTTTCTTTAAACCTTTATGATTAGTGCAAAGATTTATATATGATGATCACAGCTGTTCAGTTATACATGTGTGTAACTTTTTGTGTCTCTACAGAGAAATGATTCACAGAATTACATATTTAAGTAACAAAGATAAATGAAAGTTTTAAATATTTCAAAAGAATATCAAGTTATTTAATTACTAAGAAAGGTTGTTAAAAACAATAATTAAATTAGAACAAAATGATGCCAGTTTAAAATAATATAAGCTTAGTAATTCTGACAGTCAGATGAAGAGATACTGGTTAAAACTATAAGCAAAACAAAAACACCAAAAATCCAAAAGAACTGTAAATTCTTAATTTTTAAAAGTAAAGAATTTATAATTTAGCTGATTTTTGATGTTTGTGGTGCTTTACTTAAAATTCTGACATAAAATAATTTTTCCTTTAAATGATTTAAATTCTTTATATTCATGTCTTAAATTATATTTTATTAGAGTAAATTTACCTTTGAGGTAAGAGACGATCATTAGCAAGGCAACCAGATTTATGAATTTCAGAATAATAATCTCCATATTTTGCTTGAACTGCATAGGATGCTAACAAAACAGATGTTTCAGGAGGACAATATATTTCATCACTCAATATTGCATTTTTCACTTGCAGATAAAACAAACGCTGTAGAGATTTAAAAAATAAAATCAAACTACAGAAATTATTGTAATATATGCCAATAATTTATAGTAAAAATATGTTTACTGTTTAAATTTTATGAATATATTCTAATTAATTAATTATATAATGTATACAAAACTAAAAAGGATTTATGCCTAAGAAATTCAATTTATCACAATTAATTGGCCTTCTTATCTTTTTAAATAGTCCAAGATAAACATGCAAATTTTGTATAGAATAATCCTAACTATACACTAATATAAGACTGCATAATAAAAAAAATTTAAGATTTACAACTAAATCTCAATTGTTAAAATGCTCATGTATTACTTACATACTAAAATTTTAATTTTTTGAACATTCATTGTATTCAACATGTTTATTTTTATATTGAAAATAGCTGATAAACTTGTAAATATTTTTTAATACGAAAATAATTTTACAGCCAAGAACTTTAAATATTTGAATTAATATTATATTCACAGGCATGAAATTTATTTTTTAAATGTAAGATATGATGTTAAATATGCTTCCCGCATTGACTATAGTCGAGTCTAAGTCATCTGTTACTCTGTTTTACTCATTCACAGTTTTTACAGAATTTTTACAGAAAAATTACTGTGACAAATAAGACTCCTCCATGGATTGGAAAGTGTTAAAGTTATTAACTGAATAACTCAAGATACATACCTAATGAATAGATGTAAACCTACCCTAATTGTGAAAGGTCAAATTGAAACATTACATGAGAAAAATATGACATGGAAATGTTTAAAAAACAATGCTAAATATTATAGGTTATTCTCTCATTTTACCTTCACCACATTTGATATATTTTAAATAGTATTCAAAACAATTCTTATCTTAATGATGCCACAATTTTATGGTATATTTGACTCATTCTATAGGATATACAGTTTATTGAATAAAAAGATTAAAGCTTAGTAAATATCAAAAATCTTTTATGTTCACAAAAATGTTTATCTGCAATTATATAACAATGTAGACAATGTTATAGTTTTTAAACAACAACAAATTTCCATATTTTATTTTCATGTTTAAGTAAATTTAAATCTGGAAATAATACAGAAAAATTTAAGCATTTCTCTATTTCTGAGTAAAAAGTTCTCTTGTAAATGTAAAAAACAGTAAATGTAAAAAATGCATAATATTTTTGAAAATTAAATACAGTGGAACCTGGTAAACTTCAATTGGTTGGGTAAAAAACTTTGGATTGGATTTCAAATTAAAAAAATTCAAGTTATGGAGGATTGGCTAAAATTCAAGATTTTGTGCATTGCTTTATTGGTCACCCAAAAACTATCCATACAATATTTCTGTGGGTCTCATTAATAGAACTGTTATGTCAATGTAAACCTCTGTGTTGTCCAGAAACTCCAATATGTTTAACCGAACAGTTAAATAAACCAGTGAGAAATACTTTCCTGAATGGTTAGCTGTTCACTCCTGTTTAGTAAAATTTATTTTTTAATTGCAATGTTTTGCATCTAGAATCAATTTGTTTTGCAGGGCTCCAAAAAATTAAAAAAATTGCCATTTTGCCAGTTTTTAAATTCTATTTGCCATTTCAAATTACTTACCAGCAGTTTTACTTACTTAATAATACTGATAGCCTTATCAGTTTGGCATCTGGAAAGCAAACGTAACATATTAAGCTGTCACTTAGAAATAGGAATAATTTTTCAATAATTTTTTAATGAATAATTCCAAACAACACATTTGATCACAATGCTTAATCAGTATTTCATAGGTTCTATCAAATAAAAATTTTTTTGCTTTAACTGAAGCATGCTCCACAATTCAGCTTCATCCTGAATGTAGAAATAAGTAGACTAGAGTTTTTACTGCCCCTTTATTTTTATCACAAACACTCCGAGTTTTATATTTTTAAAATTTTTACTTAGAATTGGAATATAATCACTTTTTAAAATTTATCAAACCTCTATTTATTACATCAGCTAGTTGAAGAAATCCATCAGCAATCAAATAAAAATGCTTAGAAGAAAACAGGTTTGAATGACAGTTACAATATCTAGATCACTGCTGTCTGGAAGCCATTAAACACAATGTTTATTTGTAGTTGTAAATGGTTCCCACACTTTATAGAACATTTCTAATTGGTTTATTCAATACATAAACATATATTGAATAAACAAATTTGAAATATACAATATATATTTTAATTATTTTATTTAAATTAAAATTCCAGACAGTTTATGAAAATACTATATCAAAATACCATTCATGTTAAACATGAATGGTATTTTGATGTGAGACCCGAAAGGCCCCTGGGTCTAAGCTAATAATTTTATTAATTATGTTAAATATTGTCACCAAATATTACTTCATTTTTGGTGAGAAAAATACTGTTTTAACATGGGAAAAGGCAGATAACAGATGTTACTTCCTTTCACAGAAGAGAACATCCTCTGACTTTCCCTTATCTGGTTAAAATCCTGCTCAGATGGGAAATGGTTACCCCTCATTCATTCCCCTTTCATCCGTTCTCATGAAAGAGTTACTGGCCGATGATTGGTCGGTATTCCGAAGATATACAGGGAACTTGTCAGAATTCGGGGAGTTCAGCGACAGATCCGAAAGCGTCCAAACTCCACATATGTTTCCCTCCTGATGACCAACGTCCTTAGACGAGTCACATACAGAATAAGTCTAGAGTCTGCACATAGAAGTGATACCTTTATATTTGTGCACATAGTGATCTCCCATACGAAGAAGTAAATGAACTTTATCTCCAAAGCGTCCCTTGCATACAGAGAAGAAGACGAACGACAACTGAAACAGGTCGTATGTTTTATAACGATTTTTGTGAGCTCTCTCTCTCGATCGCGAATAGTGTAGAAGATAAGTATAGCTATCTCTCGATTTGTATGTTATTTGTGGTATTTCTATCTCTCATTCATTGAGATTTTTGTATGATTTATTTTCTTGTTTTATTAAATTTATTATTTTGTTTTTTTATTAAATGTCTCCTAATCTGAATCGTAATAAGTATACTTCACGCGTGTTAATCCGCGTGTTATAAGATTGATTAACTGGTGTCGGGACCATGACAAATTTGGGATAAAGACTTCCCAGTCTTGAATCCCCTTTTCCTAAATATTACCGCCCTCCTATAAAAAGTTCCGAGAGCCGATCTCACGATCGTGCGCCAGTAAGTGATATAGGTACAGTGGAACCCTGGTTAACGAACTTAATCCATTCCGCGACTCCGTTCGTTAACCGAAGCAATTTTTCCCATAGAAATTAATGCAAATGCAATTAATCTGTTTTAGTCTCCAAAATTTTTGTGATTTTATTTGTAATATACAGTAATTTTCTTTGATGAAAATGTAAGAAAACGTAGTATCTATCGTTACAGCAACAAACATGTAAAATTTGTTTAATAAAATAGCACTGTACATAATTTCATTTGTTGTAGTTGGTGGCAGAAAAGTGGAGATGTACGAACCTTAATGCTTAGAAGGGGAATCCCCTTCAAAAAATAACGAGTAGCACTTCATTGGAAGATTCTTCCAGTCGAAGTCTCTTTCGGTAAAAAAAAAAACCCCCACCAGTGGCTAAGTGGTCTTCGTACCTTGAACACGGGGGAGTTCGTTCGTGGGTTCGCACCTCGTTCAAACGGGCTGGCCACGTGGAGTTTTCCGGGTTTTCTCCACGTCTGTAACGCCTAAATAGGGGCCAGTTTCCTTTAAAAACACCTCCCAGAAGGCATTTCCCTAGGCAGATCGCCTAAGTGTTGCATTGCCATAACTTAACAAACAAACAAACTCTTTCCGTAAGGAACAAGAAATTGATCTAAAGTTGATTGTCTTACTCTTTTAAGCAAAATCGTTCTCAAATGCGATAGCGCGCTGTCATTTTCTATTGCCACTATGACTTTTTTCTTTTTTTGATGCCATATTGATTAAATATATAAATCACAAAACTGAAAAAAAAGAAGTATGGCACAAACACTCGGAAAAGCAATGCTTAACTCGCGCATGCCTAACACTAACTAAAATTTGACACAAAATACCATTCGTTATCCGAATTTTGTTCGCTATCCGAGACAAAATTTTTGCAAAATAAAAGTTCGTTAACCGATTTGGTCGTTAACAAGGACGTTCGTTAACCGGGGTTCCACTGTAATTTACTTATACCCTTGGCTACTCTCACAATACATAAACATATATTGAATAAACAAATTTGAAATATACAATATATATTTTAATTATTTTATTTAAATTAAAATTCCAGACAGTTTATGAAAATACTATATCAAAATACCATTCATGTTAAACAGTTTGACAAATTTGAGTTTCATTTAACATGTAAATCCCTATGCTGGATGATTTGGGAAAGAAAATGACTGAGTTAACCAATTTCACCTTATTTTAAAAATAATAATTATTTTTGTGTATAGCTTGTTTAATAATAATAATAATAATTTAAATAGAATTCCAATGGTCCTTATAATTTTCATATAAAAAATGGCCCAAAAGCTAGTTAACCATAGTTAAACTTAAATAGCTTTCTTATTACTAAAAACTTTACAACAAAATGGCTCATTCAACACACAAATTATAATGCTATAACAAATTATGAAACTTTTTTAAAAATTCTTTTACAGCTTATTCAAGCAATTCACACAGTCAACTATTATTAATCCCACATTTTATTAATTCAGACAAATTATACTCTCTTAATATATAACTACAATAAAAACAAGATTTAACATACCACTGTAATGTCTTGAATAAGTTCTTCAGCAACATCTTCTGGATAAAATTTTCCCCTAAATTTAAACTGCATAGGATTTTCCTTTTTAACATCTTGACTTAACACCTGAAAATTTTCATCACAATTGTAAAATTCTATCTTTAAAACGTTTTTATTATATCAATAAATATTCTTTCTTAACCAGACTGCTAAAAACAAAATACTTTAAATGTTAAGTTCTTTAATATATACAGTATACAAGATGATTCAAATAAGAGGTAACCTGATTTAGTTTAGTTTTGTTTTAATGATTAACATGTGATCTTATTTATGAAGCCTACAGTTTTTTTGTACTTAAACACAGTACAACTTGTTCAATTTGAAATATAAAACAAAAACCTTGTCTATTTTAGAAAAATTACCAATTTTGGAAAAAATAGGCCTTTTATTATGTATTTTACTTTGCATAAAAATAAAATTCATTTCTTGCAATTGTTTCAAGTTGTTTATCTCCAAGTTTTATTAACAGTTATCATCATCCCTGTGTAAAAATAAGTCAATAAATTATGATGATTTCTTAAACAGGCAATAATTCCAACTGGTGTAATAAGTCTGGTATTACTGATAAATAATAGCAGTTAATAAAACTTGGGAGAGTAAATTAATTTAATATCATAAAATATTAATTTTAAATAGGTCATTTTAATTTAGTAACATGCTTTTAAAAATATTTTATTTTGGTTTAAATCAAATTCATAATTTAAATGCAACAGAGTCAACTTAATGAATATGAGACAGTACTGTTTAACATATAAGTCTTTAAAAATTATTAATTTAAAAGTATTCTACAGTTTACACAAATGATTATTACTTCACAAATTGTCATATTTTTCCTCCGTTGCCAATGTCAAATTTTTTAATTTTTTCATTTTACATGTTCATATTCTATGGTGGCCATATTGGTCATCATAATTGAGTTTGATGTCTCCAATGGACTTTTATTGTTATTATTATTTATTATATTATTTAAAAATTACATATTGCAATAAAATATGCATAAAATACAAAAAAGTTAAAAAAAAACAAAAAAATAAATTAGGGTGTCCACTGGACAACTTCAGAAATACATTTGGTAGTCCAAAAAAATTTTGGTTGCCTAATTTCAAATGCTGATTTATTATTTATCAAATAACTTATTGATTATGTTATCAGATATATTAAGAATTACAAAAGAATACACAGTGGAGCCATTTCTACATGATCTTAAGTCTCAACACAATTTATGAGCAATTTCTATATGAGTTCAAACTAGGCCACAATGTAGCAGAGGCAACTTGTAATGTTAATGCTGTATTTGGTAATATAAAGCTACTGAAGGGACCAAAAAAAAATACACTGAAGCCATCAGCCTCTAACACAGTGTTTCTCAACGGGGGCAATATCGCCCCATGTGGGCGTTTTTCCATGTTGAGGGTGCGATTAGTAACAATTTATATTTTGGGGGCAAAAAACAATTTTCTGAACTATATAGTAAAACATTATATTAAGAATAATTAGATATTTTATTTGTTATATTGTACAATAATTAAATAAATAACATTATATTAGTCAATAGTCTATTCCAATGGTTCCCAATAATGGTTCCCAAATGTAATGTAATGGTTCCCAAATGGCACGCGTACCTTTGGGGGGGGTACATGAAATTGTGTGAAGGGGTACGCGCGGCAATCTAAAATCGGTCGATTTAAAATTGAAATGCATGAGATGAAGCAATAAAAAAATAATGGGTGGACCATCAAAAATTCGGCAATTTACAACATGATGTCAAATGCACAAATTCATTTATTTATAACTAAAAATATTATCGAAATTTCATCAAAAAATGAATTTGCGACAATAACCTAAATGAAATTCTTACGCAAGAAACAAAAATTGTACAATTAACACAATTTGTTTTTGCAAAATTAATTTTGAAAATTTTTGTCGCTGTTGCGAATAACACCACCAACCACCTTCCCATATCTGACCAAGAGGAATTAAATTAATAGACATTTCATGCAACAGCAGACTCAAAAGTTGTTTTGCAGAGCAATCACTGGGTAATTTTTGGGCTGACCTAAAAGACATTTATCATGTCAGCGAAGCGGCAATAAAATATTTACTACCATTTTGCACAACATACCTCTGCAAGAGCAGATTTTCGGCCATGACAAACATGAAAACTAAACATCATCACCGACTTCGACTCGAAAATGACTTGAGACTGAAGCTGACAAAAACCTTATGTTATTTTCATTATTAGAATAGTATATAAGGTAATAAATGTAAAAAAAAAACTTATTTCATTTATCACTAGCTGTCTATCACTACCCACAGCTTCTCCCGCATTATATCAAATTTTCTCATGGGAGTAAGATATTTTCTCGCAGTAAAATGTAACCTATGTCCATCTCCAACATGTAAGCTATCTCTGTGCCAAATTTTATTAAAACCTGTTCAGAGGTTTAGGCGTGAAAATGTAACAGACAGGCAGATTACCTTCAAATTTATATTATTAGTATAGATTAATATGAATTTTTACTATAAGGGGTATGCGAGTTTGAGCTCTTTCTTGAAGTGGTACGCAGGAAAAACTAATTGGGAACCACTGGTCTATTCAATGCAGTACGAATTTGGCATTAGCCTTGGCCCTCGGCATCGAAATTTTGAAGTGAAGGGGCGATACTACATAATGGTTTTATTGAACGGGGCGATACTATGTTGAAGGGGGGCGATGATTCGTTACAGGTTGAGAAACACTGCTCTAACATGTATAAGACTACAGACATCTTGATTCTGGGAAATTGGTGGTGGTAGTAAACTCAAGCCTTCAAATTATGTAGCTTGCAATTTAATGCAAGTCTAATGATAATTTTAAACCACATGCCATTATTGGAAAGTAAAGAAGCTTGATAGATGGATTACTTGAATTGGACAAGCAAGGAAAACAGACAGTAGAAAATGTTCAGGTTCTTGAAGAGCAAAAATAACCCTTTCTTGAATTAAAGAATAATGAGAAATGGATCCTCTAGGTCAGGTCACCAAACTATGACCCACAGGCTGGATCAGGTCCATGAGATCAGTTCATCCAGCCCACTGCCACACTGTGCCACAAATGAGCTAAAATATAATTATTAATAAGGAAATATCATAAATTGTAGAGAAACTTACTATGTAGAAAAATTAAAATAAGTAAGTAAAAATGCCAAAATTTGTCCAACCTAATTTTTGCATCTAATAGTAATAAAATTTTTAGGAAAATCAGTGAAATAAAAAATTGTGACTTTGTGACTGTGGATATCAGAGTGCTTTTTATGTAAGTACAGTACCTACAATGAAGTTTCTAAGAAAAGTGATTATGAGCTTGCTGCAGCAATCGTGTTTATGTATTGGTAAATAAATATGTTGGTTGTTTTTAATTTTTGTGTATTCAGTGTACTGTATTGAACAAAATGGTTATGTGACCCAAGCTCGTCATTCTCTCAGTTATCTGGCCCATTGAGAAAAAAGTTTGGTGACCCCTGCTCTAGGACAAAACAAATGATATGCACAATTGGTACTAAATTACTGTCTGTCTATTCACCTAACTTCTGAATTCAAATAACAGTAAATTAAGAAAATTTTTATGTTAATTTCTGTATATTGCAAATTTTGAAGTAATATTTATCTTATTAATTTATTTTCAAATTTGATTGTAAATATTCTATTAAAAAAATCCTTGAGATTTCATTTTTTGATATGATACTTCTGTTTTTGTAATGTCATATCTGAACAGGAAATATTTTCCTGACAGGAATGACAGATATTATAGACCAACTAAAATATTAAGTAAGTTTAAATAATCAAAGAAAATTATAAATTATGAACAAATTTTAATGTAAAATATTATCCTTATTACTACTATGTTAAATCAGATTCTTAGAAATGTCTAATATATCAACCAAAAACAATTTAGTTAAATTTATTTGACTTAATATTTAGTCTATATCAGGGGTCGCCAAACTTTTTTAACTGTCGACCCCCAATCACTTTTCAAAGCCTCACATTGACCCCACTGTAAAGTTTTATTACAAGTGTATGTGTATGAGCAAAAAAAAAAAAACGTTGTGGGTTGTGGTCTCTGTCTAAGCAAAAAAGGAAAAAAAAAAGGTTGTGACCCCTTAGCCGCATCGACCACTGGGGGTCCATATCGACACTTTGGCGACCCCTGGTCTATATGATTAATATAGCTGCTTCATTCATGTGTAACAATTTCTGAATTTTTAAAATTATTAATGAAACTTAGCATTTTTTTAAAACAAAACATTTTAACTGAAAACACTGTCTTATCTGATACAAATATTAAAAATTTGTATCATACTTTAAAGTCAATTGCACAAGTTACCATTTAAGCTACAGAATAATTGTCTCAAATACATTTAGCCTCATCACTAATGTAAAAAAAATAAGCTTTGTTTGTTGCAAGAATTTCTTTGACTCAAGACAACAGTTGATCAGCTTGTTGAAAAATTCTTACTGCACAGTCATGTTATGAAGAACAAAAACAAATAAGCAAAAGCATGGAACAGATTGACATGTAAATGAAAATATGCATTAATAGATTTGATAGAAAATATCTACATATTTTAAAATACAGGTAACCCTCGTACATGGTACTTCTACAACACCTTAAAAATTGGGGATATTCCCAATACAGCACAACTTCTGGTTTTGTCTAACACACTTTTGGAAATCTTCCAAATAAAAAATTCACAATTCGTAAGTACAAACTTTATTATTTGATTTTTTTTTATTCAAGTAAGCATTCACATTGTCTCAAATATGCCCATGGATATTAGAATATTGAAATTTTCAAATTATTTTGTGCTTTTCATTAGGTTTACTTTAATTAAACTGATAGGACAAGAAAGGAAAAAATTGCACTAATTTTCCTATCAACCAGGTGTCATCATTGAATTCAGACTTTAGCCCTTCTGTCACTGTTTTTTCTTTTTATAGATTAATCTTCATATTTAGTAGAGTTTATTTAAACATTTTTAGGTAAGTGTTATTAAACTTTGTTTTAACTGTAAGCAAGCATTGATTCATAAAACGAATGAAATATGGCACAGAATTTGTGTTGGGGTATCGATACCCCAACACAAATTCTGGAAAGTGTTGCCCAGTGCTCGACTGAACAAATGCAGTCTGTTATGTTAATTGAAAATTTGTTCTATTTTTATTTCTTCCATAAAAATTCTTCTATGGTAAAATAAAAAATATGAATATGTTGCTGATACTTCTGATCAAGATTAACAAAACACTTCAGATGACGACAATACTTTGTAAAAAGAAAACACCCTCGTTTATCTAAAATTAATATTAATGTATAAGAAAATACTTTTAATTGTAATTGTTAATTAATTGTTGATTGGAAATAAATTATTGAATTCTTTAATAAACATATCTCTCTCTTACTAACAAAAAAGAATTGTATACTTTTGCTAACTTCTGGAACATAACCCTATGTTTGTATCGTACAGATTCGTATAACATGGCACTTTTTGAAATGTAACCATCGTGTTATACAAGGGATACCTGTATATACCTTATAATGAGAAATGATTAGTTATGTTTCATAAAATAAGAATTACTTAACAGTAAATTTTCTTGAATTGATTTTAATCAATGTACATATTAGGATCTGATCTTTTTTAAAAGTATTATGCTACTATTAGGATAAGCTTTATCAAAGATAATTCTACAGATTAAAGTGCATTTACCTGAGATTAAAACGCATGCAACCAGTCCTTAATGACAGGAAAAATGATCATCAATAACGACTGTATCAAATATCAAAAAATCTAATTTTGTCCTCATTTTTAAAGTAAATATTTTGACTTAACAGAAAAAAAGACTGAAGTAAGATAATTAAAAATCAATTTTAATCAGATCAATTCTTATTTAAACTGAACAGAAACTAAAGAAAAGTTTTAAGTAATTTTATATGAAACTGATACAATGAGATCAAATTAAAAATCAATTCAAATTTTCACAAGTAACAACAATTTTAAATATTGTATCAATTACTAAAATAATAATTATAGAATATTCATTGTCTAATGTTTATTCTTTAGATATATAAAACATTTTCACAACATATATTTCCATTACCATATCATTTTGCTTGAATAAGACATATTTAACTTTATGTAAGTTTGATGAAAAAGTTACCTGAATTCATCAAAGAAAGCAATAAAATACAAAGAGTAATTAAGACACAGTACAAATTACTTAAAAAATATTAAATAAAATGATACAATTTAACTACTTGATGAATAATATAGTAATAGAATTGTATTAAATGGTAAAAGATGTTATACTATAGTCTTTTTAAAGCAATTAACTGTAATCATTAATTCTAATTAAAAATTTATATTTTATATTTTTATTAAGATATATCAATGAGATATTTTCTTTTCTTTTAATAGAATAATCTCACAAAATCATTTAATAAATTATCACCATCTCATCTGATTCTATTATTGTCATAGCATTAATATTTTTCTGGAATATTTAAAAAGATGATAATTTTGCTTAATTCCTTCTAGTTCCAGTACAAGTTAATATTTTTAGTATTTTTCTTATGTTTGTTTTTGGCCATTTCAAATTTCCTTAGTTCTAAAAAGTCATATTTACGTATATATATAGAATAAATAAATGAACTGGATGATGACTCAACTAATTACTTTAACACCTTAAAGAAAAATTTTGCTGGAGTTTTAATTCTAATAATTTTGCATCATATTAAATTACCTTTAAGTGACATTCCACACAAGGGCATTTCAATGGCATTTATTAGAGCTGAAAATGTTAGTGTTTAAGAAAATTTTGCTGAAGTTATACTATATTAAAGTCATTACCGATTTATGTACTTAAAAAAAATCACATATCTTACATATAAAATGCAATTTTTAAAGTTAAAATCTAAGAAAATAAAGTTATAATCAATGAGAACGTAAATTAAATATTATTACTTTTCATATATAAAATCTAACTAATAAAACTATAGAGTAGTTTTTATGAAACTAAACAGACTGTAATATTTGTATATAATACGTAATTTCAGAAATAAAAAAATAATTTTTAATGTAGCATTTTATTTCATTGTAATGTTTTTGTGACTGTAAAGGCAAAATAATTTACACAAAAAATACAAGTTTTATACCAAAATTATTTTATGGCTTTTGGTATAAATGAAACTATATGAATAACAATCAGTTTTATAGCTTAGATAAATGTAAAAACATTTATATAATCATCACTTTATTCTTGTAGTTTATTACATTTATCTTATCTGAATATACAAATACAGTAGAGTGTTGATTTTCTGAATCAATTGGGGACTGGGGTTGTTCGTATAACTGATATTTCGGATAACCGATTTATGTACGAAAAAATAGTTTAACATAACCGATGTTGAAATTTTTCTCCGTTGCTTGTCGCTTCGCGTTGAATTTTCGTCGATGTTAAGCCTAACGAAGACTATTGTATTGTTAAAAATTATTTTTTTATTTTGTACAAACAAAATAAATATATTGAAAAATATAAAAACAATAAAAAAATATACTTCAGATGTTAATTTAGTATCAAAAACGTAAAATATTTTAGTAGCCCAAGACATAGCCAAAAATTGAAGTGCCACAGCACTGGCGAAAATTTAAATTTGCCGACTGGAATTCTTTCAGATGATTGACGTTTTGGATGATTGACTTTCGGAAAATCGACGCTCTACTGTATGTCAATAAAATTGCAAATAATTTGAATTATTGACAAAACACAACATTAAGATGTGCAAGTCACAAATTAATTGGAGTCAGATAGTTTATTCACTAAAATTATAAGATGAAGTATAAAAATTTACCTTCTTGTTCAATTTTAACCAAGTAATGTAACCTTTACTATCAACATACTGTAATCCAAAAAACCAAATTTCTCTTAATCCAATCGTTTTTACAACCTGAAAATAAAATGAAATTATTAGAATATTCATATATTTAAAATTATACATCTAGTAACAAATATTAACTATAATTAATCACCATAAACAAAACCTTTTTTTACTTTCCTGGATGTTACAAAACATAGAAAGTATAGTGATTGGTCAAATTTTGACCTCCTGTACTTTTCATATTTCTCAATATTTTAACATCTGAGGGGGGGGAGGAACTTACAAAATTCTGTCTCTCTGCATCTATTTTGCATTATATCTCAGAATTAAATAAATAAAAAATTTTCAAACAAAGCAAGGAACATTTCTATATACAGTGGGTGATCTGTTAACAAACATAATCCATTCCAAGACTTTGTATGCTATCCGAATTGTTTGTTAACCTATTATCGATTTACCATAGGTTTTTATGGGAATTTGATTAATTCATTCTGGAGACTCCAAAAATTAAAAATAAAATATATATACTTTCTTACTACATTTATTTATATGTAATAATAAAAATACACAGTCTTGCATTTTTATTAGTTATGTTTTTTCCATTTGTGGGGATTAAAGAATCTGTCCAATGTTGATTGATTTTCTGTCTTCTTCAGTATTTTTTTGGAATTAATTAATAGCATTGTAATTGTACAGATCTCCAAGCCTATTAATCTCATTCTGGTTTGGATGCCATTCGGAAGACTGTTGTTCTGACATCCTTCCACTTCTTCAAAAGATCTTTAATAGCAAATGTCGGCATTGGTACTCTTTCGTCTTCCTCTTTTTCAAAAGAAAACACATCTTGCTGAGTTTCTTGATGTTCTTCATTTAAGAGTTTTTGGAATTCTTCTATCGTCACATCAGTTTCAGGTTCCATTACGAGATCTTCAATGCTCTTTATTTCTCAGATGTGATTTTCATTACTCCTTTAACTGCTTAAGACTTCTTGATATATCTTTCATAGCTAAGACTGTGCCTACTGTAGACCTGTTCAAGCCATACTGCCTAGCAACATCAGACATCATCTTCCCACTCTCTACCTTGGCTATTATTTCTTGCTTGGTTTCTACAGTGAGAACAGTTCTTGACACTCCACTCTTTTTAGGTCCCACAATATTATCAATTTTCTTAAATAAAAAGTTCAGAAAGGCACTTACAAAAATTCAGAGAACAAAAATTACCTAGCATACAAAAATTATTTAATTGCAAGACCCGGATAAAATTCAAAATTCTGTATTAAAATGTTAACAAATATCCTATTGGACAGTTAAACTCGCGCCTTTCGTAAATAAAAACCAATGCAAAACTTAACGAGTACCCGCCCAACAGTCTCGTGAAGACTATAAAAAAATTACTTGTCAGAAAGGTAAACAAAAAGATGAAATTACAAGGGAAAGTTTCAAAATTCGAAGGAATACCATCCGATCAGTATAAGGTTGAGCGTCAATGTCGACGCTTCAGAGCTCTGAAAGGTTTCAAATTGTCACCTGGAGACAAAGGAAGATTAATTGGTATTCACTATTTCATGTCGCTTCTTTTTCTGTTTGTTCTGTGAAGTGTTCGTTATCCAAATGTGTGTTTGTTGTCTAAACATAAAAATCTTTTGTGAAAGTGTTCGTTATCCGATTTGTTCGCAGTCTGAAAGGTTTGTTAACCGATCATCCATTGTATTCTATTATTTCTAATATGTACAGAGTTAACACTCAAAAAACCTTAACAGTCCAGTACTAAATATTTAATAGAAAACAAATGTTTTTGACCATACTTTCAGTCTTCTTCAAGTTTAAAAAAACCAGTGAGATTCAAACAAGTGAATTCGAAGAACAAAACTTACAAAATTGTTTTCAAAAAACCTGGAATAGCACAAGTAGGTTTTTAAAACCATGGAACATTCTAAGCTTGTGTGTAAACAGTTATGCATGCATATTACCACAGTGGCAGAATGGTATATGTAGTACAAACTTTGATATAACTACATACATATACCAACGAAAGGAGGGTGGGGTGTGGTTTCTAAGTGCTGCTGCAGGAGTTACCAGTTCCTTCATAGCAGTACCTCCATGTGTGAGATATGTTGATGGCATCCTTAGAGTTAATTAATACAATTGGTATGTAATCCAGCTTTGTATATTTCAAGTGTCTCAAGGTTTCGAAGGTGTTTCACACGGTGAGACATCTTGATCAGTTTGGAATCCTGTAGGTCAGCTCTTATGCTGGGGTCACACGAGTGGATAGGGCAGTGGTGTGCTTTTTATTATTGATATCGTATTTGTGTTCCTGCACTCTTTTATTACAGGGTAATGACACTATGAAATTTGGCTGTCAAGGGAGTGGGGAGATAGAGGAGTCATGTGTCTTGGGTGGGATTAGACAATGAAAATTTCTCATTATGGGCATTTACAATTTTTTTTACAAACTCGTCTCTACTATCAAAAGTAAGTCTTTTGCCATTTTTATAATTAATAATATAAAAACTAATTTTTGTAAAATTTCTTAACAGGTGATGCTTCACAGAATTTTTACTTTTTAAAAGACACAAAAAAGTTAGCTCAAACTTAAAAGTTCTTTGAAACAGAAATTTCTCATAATTCTAAGGCATCCCAGTGTAATGTTTACATTGCTTACCCACCTAGCACCATTCCTGTTAAACAAACTATAAATAATAGTATATGCTAAAATAGAAAAAAATCTTGATGATATCCATTGGACACAGGTTCAAAAGTTGATTGCTTAGTTTCTAAATACTTCTGAGATGGCTGATAAATTTCCATATTTTCCTCTTTTTAAAGTGGAAGTGTAAAGTAATAGCAACTAAAACATGGATTCTATGCTTAGAAAATATGCATGCATCACAGTTTTGCCATTTATGCCTTTTGGAGGTTTTGGAAAAAATCAAACAGATAAATGCTTATAACAAAATATTTTTCACATTTTCTAAAAGTATTCTTAGTTTAGATGAAGAAAAAATGTTAGTAAGACGTTCATAACTTACTGAACTCGTCAAAAGTTGTTTGAGAGTTAAAATTGGTAGATAACCCACTCACATTAACTTACAAAAAGTCTTTTAATACATACATTATCCACATGAAATCACAATATATTGATGAATGTTGAATGCATTAATTGCTGACAACAAAAATACTGAAAAATTTTTATTAGTTATTCTTATTTGTCAGAATATACAGTATAACTAGATCCAAAATATTCTTAACAATATTTGAATATTTTGATAGTGAAGATATATTTTAAAATTTATTTTAATATACACAGATGGTTCAGCTGGTATAACAGAATAGTACAATTTAAAGAAATAAACAGAAATACAAAATACACTTTGTATTATTCTTAGACATTAGCATGTAACAAGCTGATTACCAATACAAATATAAACATCTAAAAACCCAATTATTAATTTACAGCCAAATGATTGCCAGATTATATCATGCTACATTAATGCTACTAATAATAATTAAATGTTAAGTAATTTGGCCTACAGATAGATACTTAATATTTAATTATTAATAGTAGCATTAATATAGTCAAGTATCATGTTATGTCAGAAAAACAATGGCTATAACAAAAAGAAATTTTAAAAGATTTGTTTCTAAGTAGTTATTTGAGTTAAATAATTCTTTTTGTGAAATGAACTCACATTTCACAAAAAGAATTATTTATATGCTTTTGATAAGCATTTGATGCTAAGTTAATTTCATAATGAAAATAGCATCAAATGCTTGCATATAACTTGTTCTTAAATATTTCTGTTTCAATAATGATTTTTCAAATTTGTTAACAAGTATTATATATTTAAAGATAATTAATATTAATCACCTAAGTTCTGCATGATTCATTTTTTCATAATCATCAATTTTAATTAGTAAATCTTCTATTATAAATACAACATAGGCCTACATAACAAAACAACTGTTTTCAATTCAGTTAATCTGTAATATACCTACGTACATATACACATTTATGTACTCTTACTCACACATATTGATATTCTGAGGAAACAGTGTTCTGCAGTTCTCAAAAAATAAGAAACAATGCTCTAAAGCAGTCTATAAAGGACAACTCAAACAGAGAATAGGAGACAAGAGGAAATAACATTAATTTCACTTAAGAGTGCTAGTTATTACTTATTATAATTCCATTCTCCCTTAGTGTGAAAGAAGAATGTTCTCCCACTTCTCTAAGCTTCACTCTCACAATTCTTTGCACTTTGATGATGATAGATTAAAAAGTTTTTTGAAAATGTTTGAAACACATTATATTTGAATAAAAACTTATCAAACTATACAAATTCAAAAAGTTAGGATCCTCTGTATTTTATCAGTTATTCTCTTCTTTTTAATTTATTAAATTAATATATTTAATAATGGATGGAGTTAAATTTAATAAGGTTCAATAAGATTCTATAAAAATAAGGCTTATATAGTTTATTTGAGTTATAAATTTTTATAAAATACTTAAGCAAACATAAATGAATAATTTGTTTTTAACATATTTGCATAAGAATTAAAATACTTCAAAAAAATACTTACATAACAAAATATCATTAGAAAGCAAAATTATTAAAAATGATTAGAAGATATTTGTTATTTAGTCTATTAGTTATTGTATTGTCATTTCATTTTGAATATCATTTTGAATATGCTTTATAATAAACTATTATTTTCAATCTTTGAAGAACCATTTTTACAAAGAAAAAAATTTTTTAATTATGTAAATTTTTAAAATCATTAAACTTAAAAAAAATTCTCTCCCCATTAGAAGTCATGTGCTTGTTAGAAATTTTACATAAAAATAAACTTTCCATACTTATATTTGAATCCATTATTAAAGAAAAATCATTGATAAATTTCAAAATCAAATTAATCAAAATAATTTTCCAAAAATTATTTCTGTATCATTTTTATAAAAGTTCATTAACAAAAGGCAAGTCAAAAGTGTACTGTTAACTAATATAGTTTCAAGAAAAATAATTTGGCAAAATGGTTTTTTTTTTTTTAACAGTCGTGTAAATT